TTATTTCCCCTTTCTTCCCCCTTATTTCCCCTTTTTGTGATGCAATATATATTGCCATTGTCAATCAGGATTTCGGGTCCGGGCAGTAAATGGTGAGTTGAAACTCACCTCTGTTAAAACCGTGCACAACCATCCTTGCACGGAAGGATATATTTCTGTCGATCCATCGAAACGACAGCTGATCTCAAGTGAACGCGGCACGGTTTAAACGTTAGGTCCTTTCTAAATGTGCCCGCCCTTTTGTTTCAACGACCTTGAACAGCTTGATCAGAGGCGGTCATTCCGTATTTCAATTGCCGTGGGTTGGTTGGATTGCATGAGATCAAGTTTTTTCATACATAAGTCATCTTATGCTACATAAAAAAGCACGAAATAACACCAAAACCATTAATTTAGCGTTCTCTGTTTTGTAGTGTTCACTTTGGCTCTGTTGTTGCTTTGTATTTTGACCTGTGATCCAAACAACTATAGTAAAGCTCAACGAAATGTCAAGTCACAGGTAAATCCTAAGTATTTGTAGTATTTCCTTGGGTTATTATTGTTGCAAGGAATAACTTTTTAATAATTAGTCATGTCTGTTTTTAGTGCTTCATGCTCAAGTGACATTTCAGTCGACCTAACCGATGCCTTTCGAAGTATGATACTGAACGAGCGTTTCGTGTTGTCGGATGATTTTGAAAGCGCCTTAAAAGAGTTCCAAAAAGTATGGAATTATAATTTTATCGCTTCTCAGACTACTTATACTCGTTACATCCACACAGAAAGCAGATTGCTGAAGGATGTCAGGTTCAAATACCTGTTTGTAACATTTAATTATACGTTTGGTCATAGACGGAAATCGGAAGATTTGAAAGTGAGGCAAAAATCGTAAGATCTTTAACTAATATCTTATGTTTAAGGTCTAAATTCCGTAATTGTCAATCTAAATTCCGTGTAAGACTAGAGGAGCAAGGATATGTCATCAAATCCTACAACATGCTCCAAAATCATCCATGTAGTAGTTCATGGATGGTATGTGATCCATGGACAAGGAGATTATCTTCAGAAGAAAAAGAGAACTTGAAGCCTGTAATACTTCACTGTGAGTCAGCAGATGAAGTTATCGAAAGTATTAAGGAGAGAATGACGTCAACTAGAAGAAGTATCGAAGATCAAGTAATAGCCGGAAGATCTTATAAATATAATGCTCCACAGCGTCTTATACCCCTGCTAAACATTTTGACCCCATTCGCAAGATCTAAATTGTTATACGAACTTAAACAAATGCGTTTCGCCTACGTGGAATATGAAAGCGGCGACTGGTTGTTTATGGTTGACCGCGGACAACATTATGAAGTGGATGTAAGCAGTTGTCAATGCAATTGTAGCACGTTTATGATGTGTCGATATCCCTGCCGTCACATGCTACTTGACTACGTTAAAAGACGAAATCTTACAGGTAAGTTATATCAATTATGAAATACTAACTGCATAGCTCATCAACTTCTTAGGTATTGTAGCAGATGGAAGTTACATAATACCCAGAACTTCCAAAATTCTACATTAACTGCATTACCACGACGGAGTGAAGTGTATATAAGTATTCAACGAAGCCAAATAATCCATAAGCATCGCATCATTGAGAAATATGGTGAACGTTTCGCAACGGAAGTTGAGAAGAAAGTGGACAATTATTACTTAAGAATTCTTAATACCAACTTGTAAACTTGATTTTCTGCTTTAGCAGCAATGATTATTCAATAAACTTTCATAATTTTAATTTTCATCTTATTCCTACTTTCATGGGAATGAAGAACAATGATGTTCATGTGTAACTGTTTGTAATAATTAAGAATGATTAAGAAACCCTACATCCACGTACACTTTTGCAGATTAGGCACCCACATAACATATTCACCTTCGTCGGACCACGTTTATCATCAAATTCGTATCAGTAGCTAAGTAGATTTTAATTTCATGTGATTAGTTCCGCTTATGAATTAAAATGAAACCAGGAGAAATATTGATTAACAGTGGTATGCATTCATTATAACTAAATATGCATTAGGAATTAACAGTGATTTGAGAAACAGCTGACATACCTGAATATGAATAATTGAAATGACGTAGGTTATCAATAATGACTATATATATATATATATATATATATATATATATATATATATATATATATATATATATATATATATATATATATATATATATATATATATATATATATATATATATATATATATATATATATATATATATATATATATATATATATATATATATATATATATATATGCAGTTTAAGATCAAAGGTCATTTGTTTTTACAGTCAATAAAACATTAAGAATGGGTAGTGTAATAGTGGACTGGAGTTCACAGACAGATAAGTGGTGTGAAAAAAGGCTGTTAATAGCTGATAAATAACGGCACGTAAAATCCACGACAATATGTTACATGTGCGAAAACCCGTGACCTAACACGCATAGTGTGCCCACAACTACATTGAAAAGAAAATTGAATTACCGTACCGCCAGGAAATGGGCACAGTGAATTAATTGAAACAGTAAAAAAAATATTGTACGAATTCTGTAAGTACATTAAAAAGAGGATATAGTCATCTCCTACATATAATTACATACAAGTCCCACATAGTTCTATTGTCTTAGTTTAAAAACATTATTTACATTCTGAATTTTAGTGCGATCCTGATAGATAAGTGGGCTTGAAAATGATCAGAAACACAATAAATATTTTGGTTGTTTTTTGAATAATTTCGAAAATCTTTTGTAAAATATACAAAGACCTTCATTTCGAAACACATAGTACCGTAGAATCCTAAATGCTTACGGTTGGAAACTACGATTCGTCTGTAATCCAATGTAAAGGAAAACATGACGTCGTTCAAGAATAAGAAAGTAAAACGTCCATCCTGAGAAGCTTATGCTATACATATTCGTAAAGTTTATCAATGAAAGTATCGACCACTTTCTGTAATTGTTTTTCCAACTAACTAACAATAAATGGGTGCATTAACAAGGGATGTTAATCGCAACACCGTAAGTTTTATTGGAAATCAGTAACCCAAAATCGTTGTTTGAATATACCGAGAGGATTCCACCTTGGATCATAAGAGGGACATCAGCCACTTTAGATATTAATTTAAAAAATACTATATACCATAATCACAGTTATTGTTTTTATATAGATCCCTTTCGGAGAACCACAATTATCTGCAGATAGAGAAAGTTTGGTTTATTTGTGGACGAAGAATTTAGCTGCCCTGTTCTCCGGGTAACTGTATTATGTGAAATTATATTGACCTCAGTTTGGAATGAAAAAGCAACACCTTTCTCCTGATCATATAAATGTTCTTGCGAACAAATTACGAAGGATTATGGGCCTGTCTGACTTTACTTAGAAACGAGGAATTATTTGACTGATAATATAAGATTGTGGTTCGAGATGTTTTTTACAAATGAAAAAGCATCCACTAATGATGACTAACAGAGCTATTTATTTTAGGGGCTTATTTGCTGCTACAGACTTTTATTTGGAATCCTGGATAAAGTTTATACACTACAAATCAGTGAACAATTAGAACTCTGATTACATGTGAATAAGTAAGATTAACTTTGAGTATGATTTTAAAAATACGGTTTTTGCGTGAAGTGGTAGATTGAGGATACGAAATTTAACCAGCTTGATTGATACTCCAAAAGTAATTGTTTCATAGAGTTCAGCTTATTGATGGTTAAGGGAAATTTATTGTAAGCGATGAGGACGAATGACTGAGAATTGTAGCTCTTTACTAATGTTTATAAACTTACAAATCAGATCACTTATGAGACCTGTATTTTCCTTCAATCAAAGGTGATCATACTACGGAATTCACTTATATAGTCAGTAGCTCTTTAACATCGAACATAAAGACAAAGACAAACCGAGGTATTTGTCTAGAGGACATACGATGATAGTGTTACCAACACAAGTAATACAATAAGTTCAGTCAAAAATACGAGAAAAACAGACTTTTTTGTATGGACAAGATGTGATTTACTTTACCAATATGGGAAGGTAAGTAAACTGTAATAAGTTTAATGTATAATATAATAGTTTAGTTCTTTTTCGAAACCAAATTTTAAACATTGCTTCAACTGTATGAAGTAAAATAGGCACACGTTAAGTTTATCAGCCATATTCGGCAACAAATGTCTCATTCGACTACCCGTATATTCAAGATTAGTCAAATGGAGAACAATTAGGTTAATTCGTATTATTAAAAAATTGTGAATTACTTTCAAACCATAAAAATTCCGTTTTATTGTTCTGATTGAAAGGAATTGTCACAGACTTTCCATCTGCTGCTTTTCATATGAATTTCAACTTAACTAAGAGAAACATTTCTAGCAGTACGAACTATATAATTCATTACGGTTGTAATTGATTAAATGTTATAAACGATTAAAGCTGATAAGGTTGAGGTTATTTTTTACTGTCCGAACGCTATATTATCTCTTTGATAGAACATTGATTGTTTATCTACTCCAGTAAATTAAATTTCAATTATACCGCTATTTTAAGTTTCGAACTACATATCGTGATCTATGCAACATCACACAGGTAACTCATTATCAAAAAGTGTAAGAAGGTTGGAAAAATATACACAAAAAGAACTAAGATTTTTACTCGAGGAAGTTCAGAAGTATCCAAATATTATAGAGTCACCGAATAGTCATAGTGAGACAAAACACAGAAAGTTTGTATTATGGCAGCACATTTCAAAAAAGTTACAAAACAAGTTTCCTGATTCTAGCTGCAAGTCTCCAATTCAGCTTAGAAATTGGTGGAAAAGAACTAAAAGTAGGGCTAAACAACGTCTTTCGTGTGGACCATTTTCGATGGAAAAATGTAAATTCACTGAAAATGGTATCAGAGAAGTTCATGAAAACAGCCGAGGATACCTGGAGACAATTTTTTCTGAAATCTGTGAGTTCAGGCGTCAGATAATGACTTCTTATACACCGGAGAAAGAAGATTCTGAATTTATGAAATTTTTAGAGGAAATATCAGAAGATTATAGTTCAGAAGATGGAGAACGCGTAGGTGGACCTTCAGAATCTAGTGAGTTTGAAAACGATTCATCGACAGAATCATTCGAAGCCTTTGCATGTGGAAAAATCATATCTTTTAGTTGCAATTGCAGCATAGATTTGCTAGAAAATAATCACGTTCGAAGTTCAAGTCCCAAAGATGCTCATAAAGAGACTAATATTTCTAATCAAAAATTTTCCGATTACGACCCAACCGAAACAATTCTAAAAAATTATAATGAAGGCGAATCTATATTACAGAAGGATAATACTAATGGTCTACTTAGCCAGATTTTCACAAACGCAGCAGCGAATTTTCTATCGAGCTATAAACATTTAATTGAGAATCCATCACTTTGTAATACGAGCGGAACATATTATTCTGACACCGATATGTCGTATAAAAATTCTAATGAAAATAGTGGTGAAGGTTTGACAGAAGAGACAAGTTTGAGTGGAAATTCGTCTTCGTTCTTGACCGAAGCTTCTAAAAACCTTGAACTGTCAACGAATGAAAATAATGTGTTCTGCATTCCTTCAGTCTCAAATCATTCTAACTGTATGCCAATGCTAAATGCGTCTAACTCCTTCAGAAACATTTATAATGGCTCTGACTGTCCGTTTTTGTGGCTGGAACTGATGCAAATAGATAATGAAATACTTAAACTTAAAAAGCGAAAACTGGATCTAGAAATTACTATTTCAGATTACTGCCTAACTAATTATCTGCAAAAACTACATGTACCGTAAATGAATAACAGCGTATCGATGACTGAAATAATTATAACTAAAGTCTTTTTCGGCCAGTATATTTATATATGCCAGTACATGCCGGATTTGGATAAACGTGCCGACGTTAATATATAGGTTAGAACACTTAGCCAAAATCTTGCATTGATGTATAAGAATATTAGGCCAACATTAACTTGCCACTGATCAAGGAAGTTTCGCGGGAATATTAATGTCACCTCAATGTCTTTGAACTCTCGGCGATATGATTTTGCCGACAGCTGATTATTTGAGAATTCCATACCGCATGTTGTTGAATGAAGTATTTACTGTTGACTAAATAGAGAAACAGCTAGATGACCTACTGTGCAAGTTGAATAAAGCGTTGTAACAATTAAGTTTATAACGGGTTTAGGAGTTACTTAGTTCATTTAATTTGTGAGAGAAGCTAATTGTTTAGTTCCATAGTACATTAGCTCATTTTTTTGTCGTAAATCGTTCCTTTCATCAAAGTCAAGAGAATACATTAATCACAAATATCTTTTTAATTTAACATTTTCTAAACAGGCTCTTGTTTTAAACATGTTACTCCAAGTGTTTGGCGGCTGAGGTATGAAAAATCTTTTTTCCTCCATGTAATAACTAATTAATTAAGACCACAAGCGTTTTAAATTTAATAAGAAACACATTGTTCCTAATATTTTCCAGTATAAGCTGAAAATCTCGTTAATATTCCATATACATAGTCAATTTATGGTGCCTTATATGTTAGTATATGGAAAAGCTGATAAAATTATCTTAGAAACAGTCTTTTGTAATTATCATCCGAACCAATTTTAAAATACACGTATATATTTAGTTAAATACGCAAGTAGTTAGGAGAGAGTTTTATGGTTATTAGAGTGCTACAAAACGTAATATGCAATTTTCATCGAAATTTTTATGAATCATAAATAGTTAGATAAACTGAAGCGTCATATGACACATGATTTGTGGGTAAACTTTTGAAAAAACCACAAATACAACTTAAAAATGCATAACAACAAAGTAACTAGTAGTATTTATAAAATAAAGCTAAAAGTAGGAATCATAAGTGAGTACAGGCCATTTTTTCATTTCTTTTTTCTAACTGAACGCTTATTTGCCCATCGCTAAAATAATAAACATTATTACTAACACTCAATGTTCAATCTTCACTACAAGACATATTTTCACTCATCAGACTAGAATAACAAGCTTGTCCTTTTCAATGTTTGATGTGAGTTGGATCACTTATCGACAAAAAGGCGCCAAGTAATCTTTCAATATACATAAGCGCGGAACAAAAATAAGTTAAAGTATACTTCAGTACTTGTCTATTTTTATTTAAACCCCAAAAACAAACCATATACTAGCTTCCAAAATGTAGTTTTATCAAAATTTCGCTTTCCCAGTGAGTTACAATTTGACTTTGAAGAAACGATGGGATGTTACGGTCTTTAGGTCATGGTGTTAAGTCGAAGAAACTCTAAACCAATACGTATACATACATAAAGTTATAAGGGTGTTTTTTTGATATAACTTCCAATATGTAGAGATTTTATACCCGTATTAAAACAGCAGTTTGTGATGCATTTGAATAGATTTTATATCGTTTGAACTCTCTCGAAAACCGATTGATCAAGTTCTGCTAATAAAGAGCAAAATGACGAGTTATTATAAAGACAACGTCCCCTCGTAGCCATATAACTTATTGAAGCCAATTGGCTTATATGGACACTGATGACAACACAAATACTAGGATCCAATAACTGCTTTTTTCTTGATCTTACCTCTTCTTATTTCATATCCAACGATCGCAGACCATTTTTGAACCCTATAGTGTTAATCATCTGCACGTTGCTATCTTTTACATTCATCGAGACTTCACTGTTCTACGTACTGCCGTTCGCTGTCCAAATCCATCTATTTTTTGTAGACGATATGACTTGATGTGTCATAACAGCCATCCTTGTATTTTTTTACCTGGGACAATATTTTACTACACATGCATAGATATCTATTTTTATGGTTGGGACGTCTAAACAGTTATTGCTTAGGCGCTCTTGTGTCTGCACAATTCTTTATATAGGCCTTCCGTAACTTGAGCTCGCTTTATATCGTGCTGTTCATTATTTTCCACATGATGGTATTCTTTCTTTATTTGTCCGTGTCCCATACGTTCAGGCTCTTTTGTCTAATTTTCTCAGTTTAGTAGCATAATGTTCTCTTTTGGTTAATCTAATTTTCATAATTGATCTTCAGAATCATTCTCACAGTATTCAACACTGTTTCTAAAGACATCTACTGTTTCTGACACCGAAAAGCTCAAATGAATAGTTCTATTCTGATAGCCATAAGTACATCATACTTACTGAATTACGTAAAATGCATCCTAAACAGAATTATAGACAAAATATAGTGGTGCTTCTTAAATTTGAATGATATCTCGCTCAAAAACTTTCAAATTATCTCAGCATATTAGGTGAATATTAACAGGGAAATACATACAGGCCACTTAACTGTTATTATAAAGCTAATAACATTGAAGAAATCACTTCAAGATTTTATTATTATTATTAATGGCTTTATTCAATATTATATTTTGGTACAATATAGAATTCTCAGCACAGGGTATTTCAACAAGTTACTTACTGAACAACAAACAAAAAGGCAGTAACAAATACACGTTCGTTTCCAGAGGTCAGTACCATATAACATCAGGAAAGCACCGACCAGATTTATTTTGTAGTCGCATAATAAGCGCCGGCAATATGCTTTGTTTCGTTTATCAAAATCATACAACTATTTTAGTCTTCATTGAAGCATGAATTATCTACATCTCACAAAGCCAACTTTTCCTAAACAATTTGTGTTTCAATACCTATTTCATTCTCTAGACAACACTTTTATAATATGCTTTTAATGCACGTATCATGTCTCACGAAGTTTGTAAAGCACCAACAAATTCACTGAGATTCTAGACAACTAGCTATTTAGTAAGGATTTTGACTTATAGTTACAGATACAAAGGATCAGCTTCTGTTATTATATATGCATCCAGAGTGACTCTGTAGCTCAGTGTATAATGAGTTGACACTTTAAGTCAAAGGTACTGGGCTGGAATATTATAGCGATTACTAACTTTCCGGTACAGGTAGATCCAGCTGAATAATCTTAAATAAAATGAAACACAGTTAGTTACATAGCAAATATACTAGAATTAGCTGGTTGATTTAAAAAACTGTTGTTCATTAGGTTTCTCTTTTTATTTCAACCTCATATTCGAAGTCATAAACACAGAGTGTAAGGTTGTAAACTGCTCTTTGATAATGTATGGGGGATGAAAATTCCAGCCAGAATGTAAGGGCGATATACGATTTCATAACCGACGAATATTTACACTTCCAAAAAATTACCAAATTATGTCTTTTTGTAACTACAGGTACTTATCATACACTTATTTATGAAAATATATTGTTGTTAGCACCACTTAGGTGGATAATTGATATGCTTAGATTACACATCCGTTGAACGTTTACAGTACGAGTATATTCGCTGAATTATAGACAGGCCTAGTAAAACTGTAATTTGGTGATTCTTAACAAACCTACTTTTGAGTGGTCTTAACTAATCTCAACAAAATGAACGGGACTTTAAATACATGCAAAAGTGTATAACATCTGACACCGTTTTGACGACTTTCTATATTGTTCACAAACTCCATATAACTATCACCCAACGAAAAATATAATTCAGGAATTAGCAACTGATTGCAATTAACTCTCAGGTGAGATCATGATCTGCTGCAAGAAAACGATCTGATGAATACGCAGACTGCTGCACTATAATTCAGTGTTTGCCACAAAACCTAAAGACGCTGGATTTGACCCCATATTAGGTAGTAAGCGGCTACTACGGAGTAATTTCGTTGTGAAATTGGCCAGTGCTTCTTGTTACTCAATAGTTACCGAACTGATAATTTTTTTTGAGAATTGCTCTTAAAAATTCAAAGGAATCTACACAAGAGCATCTTTTACGGTACATTGACATATATCAAGACGAATGAAAATCCCGTGAATGTATTGTAGATTAGGATAACCATTTCATTTGCTAAGTGATATGATGGAAACAAAAGTCAATTTTCGATCGGTTTACTCATTATGAGTTTAGTCCAAGAGTACTTCCGTTTTGATTCAATGTAATGATTACTCAATGTAGTATTCGGCTTTGTTTTGTCGTATAATATTTTCTTCTGTATAATATACGATATTCTTGTATTTCATTGACATGAACTATGCTCAGTCTGTGATTTGTTATAACTCTAAATATATTTCATATATGTGATTTCATCCTAATTATTAATCGAAATGGGTGTACAATCAATATATAAATGAGTGTGTTTTCTACTAGTCATCGTGTTTTGTGGTTAATAAATCATCACTTATACCAGTCTTTGTGTTCTTACTTTCGCGTCGTGGGAATTGCTGAGGTCCCTCGTTCCGAGTATAATTGATAAGCGTTTCCGACATAACAATCAGCGACGACCAGATACAAAAAGTAGCACTAAAAGAGCCAAGACAATAAGCATTCAAACGACAAATTATAACAGTAAGCATGTTGTTCTATAAGTGCAGTTACTGATCTAAATGTTTGAAAGTGATTCCACCACAACAACCGTCTCAGTAAACGGAGGCCCATAAAATGTCTTACAAGATTGGTCCAACAACCAAGGCTATAGTAAACAGAAAGCATTCTATATTCGCAACCATATCACGTTCAATGAAAATACAATTATACTGTCATATAGGTAACAAAATGTCAAAATGCAAGTATAACAATAATGTGGAAGAAAGGAAATCACATCGTTGTTGTGCTAATTATAATAAATCTAAACAGGATAACAATGAAAATAAGTAAACCGAGCGTTTTTCGAAGGAAACCTGATTAAAATTTGGAAATAAATCAAACATGAACTTAAAATTACACAAAAGGCAAATGATTATAAAGTAATGTAAATAAGAGAAAAAACGACTAGTATGAGTAAACATTAGAACAATTCTATTTCATACAATCACTTAAAATAGTATTGTTAATTGTTATTATAAACCTGATCAACAATTAATATCAATATGAAACTAGTAAAATAGAAGTTTAATTGTTTTTTTTTGTGCATACATTACTCGAACTACGCTGATGCACCCTTTTTGTTATTGTATGCGATAAGTTAGTCGATTTAGACAAACAGAACTTTAAACCGGTATGTTTCAAAAGCAGGAATAGAGTACGTTGAGGACAACACAGAGATAGAAAAAGAGGGAGTTAGAAAATGAAACAAAGTTGTCCATGGGGCAACATACATACACATATATTAGAGACATGTGTCATTAAAATAAAATTTGTTGCACTGTCTGTAAGCCAACATCATTCATGTATTCAAAAAATTACAAAAAATGTGAACTACAAAAGGGAAAACATAAGTGCAAAATAATAAACTATATCCGATGAATCGATAGGACACACATCAAAAATGATACTGAAATTCAAAGTTTGGCGATTTGATATTTTAAATAAATGTCAGATTAAAACAAGCAGATTTGGAACCAAACCAGTTTAAAAAGAAAAACTAAAATTCCAACACTTTTTACAGTACATATATAACCATGGCAACGTTTCAAAGCATATTATTATATTTCTTTATTCATAAATACAAAATAGACGTTTATAGCGAGTTTAACGGAGCTGAATCCAATGAGTCGACATCATAATTTCCTAGTAATCCCGTTGAACTATGATTGCAGTCTATACTGTTCTCATTTCCATATGTATGTGACCACCGATCTAGGGAATCATCACGTCCGCATTCTTTAACAGATTGAATACAATTAGAACTAGTATTGCATGACAATAAGTGAGGAACATCCTTAAGATGTGAATTCATTGCACCCGACACAACCTTAGGTGAAAAGTCAGAGGCCTAGAAAAGAATACATGATAAAACACAAAAATAAGACAATGAAATCGGTAATGTAATGATTGGTCCATTAAGACAAGGTCAGTACTTAAGACTTTAAATCCAGTCAATGGTGTATTTTATCCAGCGATTTGTTTCCAACGTCAATTATTATATCTGTGTATAAACGTACTTAGTTAAATTTACAGTAGATTTATGTCCAGTAAGGAACGCAAAAATACTTTTTTGACAATCCTCATGTCTAAGTATGAGACCATGCAAGAAATCTGACGAAACATTTGAGAATACATAGCAGATACATGTCCTAACAAGTAGTACAAGAAATGACCCACTGATGTGACACTTAAATATCACACGTCTTATGGGATTGACCTCGCAACAGTAACTGCACAGAAATGTACACTCACTTTGGAATCACGAAATATAAATCCGATTATTTTAGATGAATGAACGAAAAATATATGTTTATTAGAATAAAGTATTAAAAACCAATATAACAATGATAAACTTGAAGGGTTATATTCAGATAAAATTAAAAACTTACTGCTAAGTTTATTTGTAATAATCCTGGAGATTCTGTACCACCATCTGGCGAAGTAGAATGGTCTACTGCAGAGTCAATATTACTAGACAATGAATTACTTTTGACCATTTCATATACTTTTCGCTTCTGTGCATACCCTTTTTGATTTGATTTATTTAAAAGAACTTCATTGTTAGCAGCAGGAAGTTTTGCCGTAAGAAGTTCAGGTGCTGGGATTTTAGAAGTAGAATTTTTGAAAGAATCTCTAGAACCTGATATCATTGAACTATCCACCATACCGGGAGGGCGCGAAATAGAACGATCCTGCTTCTTCAGCGGAACATTTAAATGAAATTGAGAATCTATATTTGCATAAAAGTGGAATTCCAATATTAACACGTTAAAATAAAACTGAATTTCAAAAATTTCGAATCAATATATCAGTCAGTCAGTCAGTAACAACGTAGAACTTCGTACGTACGTACATCAGTTCGAGTTGTCACACCACATTAGCACACAGATGCAGTTGTCCATTCAAATCCCATAGTGGTAGAGGTAGTAATCGGAAAGATTAGGGTTTGAAGATGTTATTCAAAGAATATAATCCTGCGCCATTGCAAACGATTTTGAGCCATGTCATTCAGGGTCTCTAACCATCGGTTGCTATGATCTCGCGGTCCCCAATCAGGTAGTCTACACCTACCAACATGATTCAGTCCACTTGTCAGTGACTTCATGGACTTGTGCCATGTTTTGGTTTGGCCGCCCCTAGCCTTCTTCCAACCTACTCCTATACCACTGAACATAGCACGTCGAGGCAGTCGGTCGTTGGGCATACGTAACACGTGTCCCAGCCATCTCAACTGATGAAGTTTCACTACTTCATCAATTGATTTGCCATCCTTACCTAGTACCCGTCTCCTAACTTACTCCTTACTTACTCGATGGTCCCATGATATACGAGCAATATTTCGAAGACACCTATGATCAAATACTAGTAGCCTACGGATATCCTCTACTCTTACCGGCCATGTTTCACTGCCATAAAGTAGGACGGAACGAACTGCTGCGCAGTAAACACGTCCTTTGGTTGATAGTCGGATATCTCGCCTACGCCATAAATGACGCAAGTTGGCAAAAGCTAGTCGAGCCTTCTGTATCCGTGCTGAGATTTCGTCACACACTAAACCACAAGGGCTGATGAGACTTCCAAGATAAGTGAAGCGGTCGACACACTCAACTACTTCACTCCCTATCATTAGTTCGGGTGTCGATGCAACCCAATCCTGAAGCAAGATTTTGCATTTCGAGGGAGAGAATCGTATGCCAAACATGCTTGCATTGTTGCTTAGAGTGGTCAAAAGTCTTTACATTTTGTCAGCGTCTTCACCAAATAGAACTATGTCATCAGCATATTCTAAGTCAATAAGTAAATCTCCTGGTAAAAGTTCAAATCCTAGAAGTTTAGATGAGAAATGTATCATCTCTAAAAGCACGTCAACGACAAAGTTAAACAAGAATGGAGAGAGTGGATAGCCCTGACGAACACCACTTGAGGTAATCAATTCTGATGACAGTTCGCCATAAGCTCTCACTCTACCAGTTGTGTTCGAGTAGAGAGCCTTTATAAGGTTAATGTACTTCTTTGGTACTCCTTTCAGTGACAAACACTGCTATAGAACCTCACGATCAACCGAGTCGAATGCTGCATTAAGGTCGAGAAATACTACTATTATGGGGCGTCTGAATGTGTTTCTATGTTCTTGGACCTGACGTAGTGTGAATATCCGATCTATACAACCACGTCCAGGTCGAAAACCAGCCTGGTTTTCTCCAATCTGCTCTTCACAAGCTTTAGTTAGGCGTCGAAGTATTATTGAAGCTAATATTTTAGACACTATATTTGTCAAACTGATTCCTCTGTGATTGTCACAAGAGGACTTTTGTCCTTTCTTAAAAACTGGCACAATCAGTGATTGAGACCAGTCAGATGGGATTACGTCCAGCTCCCAAATTCTACCTAAGACCTTGGTTAATCTCATTGCTAATACTGGACCACCATCCTTAAAAATCTCAGGAGTAAAGCTGTCAGGGCCTGCTGCTCTCCCTCGTTTCAGATTTCCTATGGCTTTTTCAACTTCGTAAAGGGACGGAGGACCTACATTAAATTGCCATTCAGGTTGACTAGAGATCGTGGGAAACCGAAGTGTGGCTGAAGGCCAATTGAACTAATCCCTAGAGTGTTCTGCCCATCGATCCAATCTCCTGGATTGAGAATGAATAATATGTCCATCTTTCTCTGAGATTGTTTCGCTAACGATCGGGTTCCTAATTCCGGTTTCCTTAACGAGTCTGAACAATTGTCTGCTATTACCTATTGCCGCTGCCTTTTCCATCTCTCTTGCTTCCGCTACCCACAACTGTTCGCGATCATTGCGTAGACTTCTTGTCAGCTTGCGCTTAAGCTGACTCTGCTCTTCATTATGTTCAGAGCCATGTGGAATGAGTTTCCGAGCATCTATCAGTGCGATAGATGCTGCTGAGATCCAGTGTTGCTCCCTAACCTTCTGGTTTACCTTACTAGCAGATATCACTGCTGTTTCCACAGCTTTTCGGATATCATTCCATGCTGCCTCGGGGTGGGCATCACATACATGGCTGCCTAACTGTTTTCCTAGTTGTTCCTGAAATATACTCTTAGCTTGACTATCATTAAGTAGGGCCCTAAGAGGTTTCCTTGCAGGATCTTTCCTACGTCCAGTAAGACGCAAGCAAATACGCGCTCGCACTAGAGCATGATCTGAATCTAGGCATGTGCTCCAGAATGAGCGACAGTCTTCTATCGAGCCCCTCCATCGGTGGCTGATAGCGATGTGATCTATTTGGGTCCAACGTTGGGACGAATTAGGGGGTCGCCATGTTAAAAGATGTTTTTCCTTATGCTTAGAGTTAGTATTTGCAAGGAACAGGCGATTATTTGAGCATAGCTGCAACAGACGGTCGCCATTATCTGTTCTTTGAGCCACGACACCATAAGATCCACCCAAGTGTCTTTCCCTATCGCTTAGTTTACCTACTTGAGCATTAAAGTCACCGGCCACTATTACCACATCCGAGCGCTTAGCTTTTCGGAGAAGGTCCGGAAGCTTTCTGTAAAACTCATCTTTTACATCATCTGAGCTGCAGTCAATGGGAGAATAGGCAGAGACGACGAAGAGGCAACGACGAGTGTCCCTATCTTTCCGGATTCTTACTGTTCCGTTCAGTCGGACAGCGCAAATTCACCAAGTTCGGGTATACAATGCCCAAACTTTCTATTATTGCCAAAACATTTTTACACATGTTTGTGAAATATAATAGCTAAGAGACTTAATGTAATGGTAAAATTCAGCAAAATAATCATGCTGAAATAACAGAAAACTTTTACATGCCCATTTTCCAGTTACTTGTAAGTAGTGTGAGATTAAATCGTTAATAATGACTGGGACATAAGCTTATTATTTTAAAAAAACAAGAGATTAAACTAATGGTACAAAAAGATAAAAGATAAGAATATAATATCATCATTTGAATACGTTACATATGAAATGTATATACACTAAGATGTAGTAAAATAACTCACAATATAATAGGTTATTCACCAAAAAATCATCATAATTTCAATAGTTGAGTTCATGAGTCAATTGAAGCTAAACAACCACGGAAAACCTGGAAGCACTGGACGACCGCTTCGTCCTATTGTAGAATTCCTCAGCAGTGATGATCCACGATCCCAGCTAATGAGATTTAAACCGCGGATATATCATTCTCGCGCGCGAACGCTTAACCACTAAACCAGTGAGCCGGCATACAATGATGTTAATGTCAACCTTCAACTAATCCACGAAATTGAGCGACACATCCACCATTGTCTTCATTGAGTTACTATATCTACTGATCACTGCTTCTCACCAAAACCTCAGGAAATACTTCTTGAAGCCAGTCACCAGTGAACATATGTTGATTAGTATTAGAATGATAATAGTCAGGTGGCGATAAATTAAAAATACTAAATTTGGAATTAAATTCACTTATAGTTGGAGACGTTGGATAGGATAGCAACGCATCCGATTACAGTGACCTAGAAACATACACTCTTTTTTCCGAAACTTTTTAACTCTTATCCTTCAAATGGATTTTTTTCTTCTCTAAGCATATAATCTATGCCTAACTATGTTTTTACATATACGAATTCTATTACTCTGGGCATTTGTCTGGGTAATTTCATTTCGCTGTTCTGATGTGGTATGGTAACGCAAACTGATCCACATATGAGTCAGTCAGTCAGTCAGCTACAACGTAGGACCAGGCACATATGTGCATCGGTCCAGGTTGCCATACCGCATCAGCACAACAAGATGAACACCGGATTCATAGCAGTGGTTAGGTCAAAGGTGGTAATATATAAGAGAAAGATTGCATATAGAGATATAGTACAAGAAAAAAGAATTGGTTCGTAGAAAGAAAGATATGAAGTGATTTTAATCTCTTAGTTTAAGGGAAGACAGGGAGTGTATACACCGACGCCATTGTGATCAATTCTGAGCCATGTCACCAAGAGTCTCCAACCATTGGTTACGAAAGTCACGTGGACCCCAACCAAGTAGTCTGCATCTACCAACATGGCTAAGACTAGAAGTTAGTGACTTCAAGCACTGATGCCACGTTTTGGTTCGGCCGCCCCTAACTTTCTTCCAACCATCCCCTACACCGGTTAGCATTGCACGTCGTGGTAATCGATGTTCAGGCATACGTAATACGTGGCCCAACCATCTCAGTCGATGAAGATTCATAACCTCATCAACTGATTTACCATCATTCCCTAATACCCTACGTCTAACCTCACTATTACTTACCCGGTGATCCCAGCAGATGCCAGCAATATTTCTAAGGCATCTGTGGTCAAATACTAATAGCTTACGAGTGTCTTCTACTCTTAATGGCCATGTTTCACTGCCGTAAAGTAAAACAGAACGGACTGCCGCGCAGTATACTCGTCCTTTTATTGATAGACGGATATCTCGCCTTCGCCAAAGGTGACGCAAGTTGGCAAAAGCCAATCGAGCTTTTCGAATCCGTGCTGAGATTTCGTCAGACACCAATCCGTTAGGGCTGATCAGACTTCCAAGATAAGTGAAGTTGCCAACGCGTTCGACTACTTCACTCCCTATCCTTAGTTCAGGTGTTGACGCAGACCAGTCCTGAAACAACAACTTGCATTTAGAGGGAGAGAAGCGCATTCCAAACATTCTGGCATTGTTGCTTAGTGCTACCAAAAGACTCTGCATTTTGTCAGCGTCTTCACCAAACAGGACTATGTCATCTGCGTATTCTAAGTCGATAAGTGGACCTCCTGGATGAAGATCAATACCCGAGAACTCAGTCGACGAGAAAGTTATTTCCATCAGTAGATCTATAATGAAGTTAAACAAAAATGGAGAAAGTGGACAGCCTTGACGGACACCACTTGAGGTTGCAAAAGTAGATGACAGTTCGCCATAAGCTCTGACTCGACTAGTAGTGTTCGAGTAAAGAGCCTTCACAAGGTTTATGTACTTCTGAGGTACGCCTTTCAATGACAGACACTGCCACAGAGTCTCGCGGTCTACAGAGTCAAACGCTGCTTTTAAGTCAAGAAAGACCACCATCGTCGGACGCCGATAGGTATGCCTGTGTTCTAGAACCTGACGAATGGTGAATATGTGGTCGATGCAGCCACGACCAGGTCTAAAGCCAGCTTGAGTCTCTCGTGTTTGTAGTTCACGAGTCTTAGTTAGACGTCTGATAATTATCGAGGCCAGTATTTTAGATACTATGTTTGTTAAACTAATCCCTCTGTGGTTGTCACAGGATGATTTTGACCCTTTCTTATATATTGGGACGATAAGTGATTGCGACCAGTCAGATGGGATAAAGTCTAATTCCCAGATCTTAGCTAAAATATTAGTCAACCTAATCGCTAAAATTGGACCACCATCCTTAAAGACCTCTAGAGCCAGTCCATCTGGACCAGCTGCCCTTCCTCGTTTCAGATTAACTATAGCCTTTTGAACTTCAGCAAGAGTTGGAGGACCTACTTCAATGTTCCATTCACATTGTCTGGAAATGGAGGGTAGTTGTAGAGTAGCTGAAGGCCAGCTGAACTGTTCTGTAAAATGTTCCGCCCATCGTTCTAAACGTCTGGACTGGGAGCAGATGAGAGTATCATCTTTTTCCGAAATAATCTCACTTACACTTGACTTATTAATTCCAGTTTCTCTTATTAGTCTGTAAAGCTGTCTTGTGTTCCCTATAGCCGCCGCCTTTTCCATCTCTTTTGCTTTCGTTACCCACCACTGCTCACGGTCGTTCCTTAGACTTTTTCTTAACCTAGATCTGATTTGTTTTCGCTCTTCATCATGTTCAGAACCTGATGGGACGAGTTTGCGAGAATCCATCAGTGTGACAGACCTTGAAGAAATCCACTGGTTCCTTGCAACTCTGTGGTTTAAGTCACTGATAGATGTCACTGCTGCTTCCACAGCTGATTGTATGCCCTTCCAAGCAACATCTGGGTCAGCCTCGTCTTCACAATTACCTAAGTGTGACCTCAGTTGTTCCTGGAACCTACTTTTGGTTTTCTCGTTACTCAACTCAGTTCTAATGGTTCTTTTTAATGTGGCTTTTTTGCGTCCAGTGAGGCGCAAGCAGATGCGTGCCCGGATTATGGCATGGTCGGAGTCCAAGCAGGTACTCCAGAATGAGCGACAATCTTCTACCGACCCTCTCCAACGATGACTGATGGCAATATGGTCTATTTGAGTCCATCGTTGGTTTGATGTAGGGGGTCGCCACGTTAGACGATGTCTCCCCTTATGCTTAAAATGTGTTTGCTAAAAATAAACGATTGTCTGAGCACAGTTGCAGCAGACGATCACCATTATCTGTTCGTTGTGCCGGAATACTAAAATATCCACCTAAATGCCTTTCTGTTTGGTTTAAGCTACCTATCTAAGCATTAAAGTCGCCTGCTACGAGTACTATGTCTGAGCGTTTAGCATTCTGAAGAAGTTCGGACAGCTTTCTGTAAACTTCATCTTTCACTTCATCTGAGCTGCAGTCGGTGGGAGCGTAGGCAGAAACGACAAAAAGGCAACGACGTGTGTCCCTATCCTTCCGAGTTCTTACGGAGCCGTTTAGCCGGACAGCACACAGACGACTGTTGACGGGGATCCACTCTAGCAGTGCTTGTTCCGCCCTCATGCTTAGTGCTATGCCTACACCTGCCAGTCCACGAGAGCTGGCCATCGGGTCACCAGATACACGGAGGGTGTATCTCGTTGGATCTCCGTTTTGCCGAGGTGAGGTCAAGTGAATGACCACACTGGAATCCTGTATGCGTGTTTCGGAGACACAGCATACATCAATGGAAAGAGACTCTAGGGTTTTAGCCAAGGAAGCCTGCTGACCGATTTGACATAGGATGCGTACATTGAAGGCTCCAATGTGTAGTGTGGAGCGAGGTTTCAGTAGACCTGGGACAGTGTTTTGAGCACTAGAATCGTTGGCTATGGTGGCACTTGAGGGGGAAGCCGAAAAAAGAAGTTTAGAGTTCGAAATCGATGTAGGAGGAATAATAGGAAGTGAAGACGGAGGTTGATTATGAATACAGTGGTCTTGAGTGCTGTTACAGGTATGAGGGCGATTTTCACTTCCCGGTTGCCCACACCGTGGAAGGGTTGTTCTTGAGGTACCTGAAAAGGAAATCGGATTAGAAGTGGTTTTAGTGACCTGGGAGCGTGACCGCAGTGCCCAAGGGATAATTGCTTGAGGCCAGTCGCGCACGGCCTTTTTATGGGTAATTTTTGTGTTAGCTCCGTACTTGTTGGGACCTTGCCGCCGGAGACGGAAATCCGTGAGGTAAGGTAAGGTGCGCATTTTTAGGGTTGACATTGTCTAACCCCACCCCTCCTTGTGGGAAGGCAGCATCGCTGTCATGCTGGTTGTCTGAAGGAAACAGCTTACTGCTGTCACACCTCTGTACACTCAGCAGTACGACTTCGCCTTCGGACCTTGGGTTTGTTGCTTTTAGTCTTATCGCTCTTCAACCGACCTGTCTGACATGGTAGGACTTTGAGGAATGGTTGTCCCAACCAGTATAGCTCGGTTGCTTCATCACGATAGGCAAGCCCGACCACCACGTCAAGGTCGCAACAACGGTCGGGGATCCACATATGAGCCGGGTTAAAAGTGAAATCATTGCATTTAATGAACAGAAAAATGACATAATAAAGTGGTCAATATTGATGAAAAACAGCATAATATCTAAATCTCATGTTCTCTTCCATGAACAATATCAGTAACCAGATCACCAAAGTCCATTAGTTTTTTTGTCAGATGTATACCGAATACCAAAGTTAGCTAAATAATACAGTGCTTTATAAACAAAACGTAATATATTAACAACCAATGATTAGACATAAAACTTCATGCACACAAACCTGAATTACGTGTGGAATGGTGTTTGCTAATAGGTGATGGAGTCCTGGGTAGATGAGGCGAACATATATTGTGTGGAAAAAATGAATTTCTTGAAATTGTTTGAGCTCGTATTTCCTCTGTAATAGCCTGAAATAGATAGTGTATGAACTTTTGAACTAGTAGTCAAAAATATCATGGAAGAACGAAATGACGAAGAAAACTGACAACTTTAACAGTTCCAATTATTAACTTACACAAAATACAGTAGTCGCGATAAAACTAACTTCTAGTTAATTCTCTTCAAAACTAATGGAACTAAGCATGGTATATATGTAAAGAAATCTAATCATATATCTAAACAGAAGTAGCATTAAATTTATATCCCAACATTTGAAAATCGAATGTTTAAAGCACTCAACCTACAATTCCATTTCACTAGTCTTACGAAATAAGATGTATGCTATAACTTATTGTTCCTGAAGCAAAAGATAATCTTATGTTTAATCGCTTCATTGAAAAAGCATTGTTCTGACATTTCGCATTCGATAGTTATAAAATTTATTATTATTATTATTATTATTATTATTATTATTATTATTATTACAACAGACTAGTTTAAAGATTTCAACACAAAAAGGTTCACCAATACGGACTTATTCAATACGTAGAAAAATGCCAGCAAATTAGGACGCGTATAAACTAAGTAATGATATAATTTTGGGTTATCAATTTAGTGTTTAACGATTATAATTATGATTGTCGTAAACGGAAAAAACAGCACCGAATATCAGAGAGAAACACTTTTTTTACCCAAAGATTTAAAAATATACAAAAGAATCTACATTACCTTATTAATATGGCTTTCTAGTGTATTCAAACCCCCATGCACAGACGAACGCTTGCTTGTATTAGAGGAAACATGAGAATCTATATTATTAACCTGGTTGACAGAATCTGATACAAATTGACTGAGTTCAGTTGGATTACTAGATGTTTGTATGCGATCGTATTGGCCTTTAGATGGCTGAGTTTATGAACAAACAAATTACAAAAATAAAAGGGTGAATAGTGCTTAGAAAATTTTATATGTAAAGAATATTGACAAATTTTAACTGAAATTACAAACACTCTTGCGTTACAGAAAACCAAAACATTAGCGATTTAAATGACAAAAACTTGTCTCGAATCAAGTCGTCATCTACTGGTTATTCATCCTCTGATCACTGAGTTGCTGATTAAGTAATCAATCAATCCCTAGCTAAGTCGTTTTGTTACCCTATATTATAACTTATTTTCTTCCCAAACTTGACTAATTTCGCTAAAATGTACCAAGAGTGTAAAACGTTCGGTTGCGTCATTCTAAGCCAAAAAATATCACAAAAAAGAATTAGGTACATTATACGTCAATGATATAAGTAGGATGTATTTAAACGAACAATTCGGTTTTTATATAAACTCGGTAAATACTTAATTTACTTAGATGATTGTACTAGCATTAGTTGGAATATAGGAGCGATACACAATTCTAAACTTCTGAGAAAATACCGATCGGTAATAGAGCTATAGGACACGAATTACACCGAAACGAGTTACTTCGAGTGAAAAACTAGCACAATTTAAGTACATTTTTATTCTCAATTGTGTTTAATTCATATAGACACGTATAAAACTCAAATTCTCATTTCAATGAGAACAGAGTTTGTTAACCTGTAGTAAGCCCATCCAACTTTTGTAGTATTTGTCTGATCACTGTAATTTAGACACAATCCACTATGTAAAATCATGTGTGAGTCTGATGGAGCACGTGTCTGCATATCAATCTTTATCCATTTTCATTTTAGGTATCATTGCCAAGGTTTGACTTAATAATTAATAATCTCTGTCTTACCATAAACCGTGAGATTACTTTATACCTTTCTCCATACGAACTAATTCTTTCTCCCTATATCATATCTTTATATACAATCCTTTTGTATATATTACAGTCATTAAAGGAGATAATTCTATGAATTTGGTGTTCATCTTGTTATGCTAATGAGGTGTGACAACTTGGACGAATGCATATATGCGCCTGGTCCCACGTTGTAGCTGAGTGACTGAATAACCTTCCTCCCATGTAACTTAGCGTGGACACATATGGTATCTATGATCTCGAAGCTTTCGGAAGTTATATTATTATTAAAGCTAATAACTATTGCATTGTCTATTAAAATTAGATTAATTTAGCAAGGTTATAAATACTACTAGTTCATAAACCACAAAAAGAATAAGCAATTTACAAGGAAAAACCATTGTGAATATTCTAATATTCAGTGAATAAAGAGATAGCATCAAAGCGAAAAGAATCTTACTTACTATACATCTTGATGGAGTTATTCTTGATGATTCACTTTTCATGTATGAACCAAATGTATGATTACCGGCACCCTCAGATGAATGTGGACGTGGTAGACACATACCCATATATTCCGACTGCTGATCTCTAAAATTCAGATTTGGAATGTTGATATTAGTAACAGACACATTGCAAGCACTTGGAAGGTGGAGAGAACTACTTTCCTCCTTTGGCTGTCGTAACTGTTGTATAACACCATAAAACTGAGAAGATTCGTTACCCGTTAGAGTCCGTATAGGATTAGATCGATCACGAGAAGTATACGACCCAAGTTCTTCTAGATATAATTTATTAGCGTTTGCAATAAATGATGCCACCTGATCTGAATTTATGGACATGTTAGGAACATTTTCTGGTTTGAGAGATATAGAATTAAGACTATTATCTAGCTGGCGAGTAAATGAAGATGTCGATTGGTGATTGGTATCATTTCTAGAAACTGGAACTCCCAAAAGTGGATTAGGTTGACACGGAGGAGTAGAATGGTTGGCAGGTGGCAATAAAATATCAGCCTAAAAAGAAAAATTGATACAAAACTAGACATATTTTTGAGATTTTACGCAAATTCAAAGAGATATCTATTGAATAACTAGAAAATATTGCAATGAAACCATACATTTTGGGATAGCTACAAACAAAAAGTACATCTTACTTTAACAGGACTTGGAGACAGAGGTGAGTATACACAACGTTCTGGACCACTAAAATTGTTTTCTGACACAGATGAACTACGACCATCAAACTGACTAACCGATGACGACGCAGCTGCTGCTGCAGCGGCAGCTTTGGCATGTATAGCCAACCTAATAGCATGTTCAGCGAAGATATCACTCCCCAAGCATTTTTCTATTTAAAATAAGGGAAAAATAAAAGTCAGTAAAATATGTCATAAAAATAATATAAAGTTAATTGGTAGTTTGTAATAAGACCGTACACAAAGTGAAAGTTTACACTGAAACTCTTACAATACGGAAAATAAAATTTCATCCACCTTTTAACAAGATCATGACTACTTTGAAATTGGAAATGTCTTAGAACAGTATTCGAGTAACTTCAGTGAGCAACAACTGGACCAGCCACCTTTTTATGCTTTTATCAAATGAACTGCTCCAGTAGCGCATAATGCATTGCTAGATATTTTAGGAATTCACATATCTGTGTTGCGAATACCTTCCAAAGTTACTAAGCGAAGGCGTAGTTAGAACTGTCAACAGTTGTATATAACTCCAGTTAGTGCGAAAGGGTTATATAGAAAGCATGAATCCATTGTTTGTAGTCATCTGTCACATAATCAATCAGCATCAATGTCACTTAACTATTACTTTAATCCATATCATCATTCCATACATTCCGTAATCTATTAAACATTTGATTTTACTTTGTTACTTCACTCGCCTTATGCTATTTGTATTTATCTTGATTATCGAATTTCAGCCTTGTAACTGATGTATAAACTTACACAAAATAACATTGTATACTATAAGTTACAACATTAGGGATTTTATTTTATTTTAACCCTGGATTCATACTCTGTAATTCCTGAAAGATGTATTTACACTTAACTTGGTCATTCCCTTGAAAAATTAATTAGATTTATAATTGTAGAATCTAATGAGAATTTATTGAATAGAATATTTTTCATTTACTTCAAAATCTTGGTTTCTAATATAAGGGGAAAAAATACTTACCAGAAACACTTGATGATGTTCAAAAATCTGATACTGGGTGACAATCAAAATTCCCATAAGCTGTAGAAATATGACTAACACAGACAGGTAAGGTAGATGGATCAATAGATCTAGAAACTTGATAGGATCCAGCGTAATCAGCTGCATGAAAGAAATATGACAAAAATATGATATATAAGTGAACTAAAATTTTGACAAAAAACACAGCAAAGAGTCTTCAATCAAAAAGGATTCTAAAATATAAATGAAAACAACCAAAGGTCTCTTATATTCACCAGCTTTTTTGCTTTATCTTTATAAGGATTACAGAATACTTATATGAACTAAACTATTTCCAAATTGAAGGACTGCTAATATTTTACTAGAATTCTCTTTATAAAAATCCAAAAAAATCCTTCTCTTATATTTCTTTGATGATTGATAATTTATCGAGACTTCTAAAATTTTAGACCTAGTGTGTTGGGTGCTATTGAAGTCGACAGATATAAATAGTATGTATCATCAAACGAAAGGGAAATGTGTGGTGGCAGAAGTTTAAGAAGATCGAAGAAAAGAGAATGAGAACGAAGAATGATTGGTGTAGAATCAAAAGAACAATGAATTCTGAGACGATTGACTGACATTTGCAGAAGGAACATCGAAGTTTGAGACAACTGATTAACATTTTACAAATGAAGTATCTAAAAGACTAATATCTGAATGAAGAATATTCTTTCCGATAAATTCACTTCGGGTTCTACAATTATATATCCAAATTAGTAAACTGAAAAATTGCCAGTTTGAAGGCACACCTCCCAGTGTGGCTAAGCAAAGGTCTGGTGAAGAAAGTGAACAGCTCGATATTGGCCCATCTAGTGCAAACTGGTCATAATGTTAGTATAAACCAATCGTTTTCAGTTATTTATCGGGTCAGAGAATCTTTGGCAAAGCTTATCAGACTTGAAGTCCTTCAGTAGCTGTAGCGATCCGGATGAAAAAAACAGGGGGTATGTGTACAAAAGAAATATCTTCAATCGCTTCCCTCCGTTGTACAACCTCAACGCCAATCAATTAATAGTAATCTTAGCCATTGAATGACTAATTTGACTATACCTATGACCTTTTGTAGTCAAATGTAATTGTCTGTTATATTTACGCACAAATCTTTGTATTATTATTAGTAGTAATATTGGTGAAACATCATTATTAATCTCCCCAATACATGATTAATACACATCACATCCATCCCACCTTACCAAAAAATTTTCTACATAATAGATTCTTCCACTAAACATTTGATCGAATTGTAATTTTGCTATTATTTCTCTCACCCTATCTGACCCATATTTATTCTGATCATGGATCTTAAATTTTCACTTAACGCATAAGCTGGTTCAAGTTAACATTGTATATGAGTCTTGTCAACATTAACAATTTTATTGTATTCTGTTTAACAATCCTAAATTCACATACTTTAAACGATGTATTTTTCCCTTGACCTGGCCGTTTTCGGATTATTAATTTGGATATATAATCATAGAACTTGAACAGAACTTATCGAAAAGAATATTCTTCGTTCAATTATTAGTTTTTTTTTAAAAATATGATGGGGATCTTTAAACGATTAAAATGAAGTATTTACTTTATGGTTGTTAGATTTTGTATTCAAATACATTCGATTGACCCCACTTGTGTTCTCGCCCACTACCCAGTATTAATTAAATATTTTCTACTTTTCGGTCAATGTTTAGATGAAGAACAGGAAGTTGGACCTAAACAACTAATATAGCGTTAGAAATTTAATTTGGACCTGATTCGAACCTAAGTTTGTCTATCTTAATTCAAGTCAGCAAGTCATTTGCAACGTAGAGTCTAACATATCCACATCAGTTCAAGCTGCCATAACACGTCAACACGGCGAGATAAAATTACCAAGACAAAATTTAATGTAGTAGAATCATCAACAGTATCAGCAGCAATTGAAAATATAAATATAGACGATACAACTCAGGAAAGAATGGGTTCATGAAAATAAAAAAGCACAGGACAATTTTGAAACTCGAGATTTAAGAAATAACAAATAGTGCATCTGCGCCACTGCAGTCGATTTTGAGACACATCACCCAGTCATTCATGACGATAAACACCCGGACCCCAAATTGGTTGTCTGAACCTACCACAACGGTTCAGCCCAGCAGTCAGTGACCTCATGAATTCATACCAACATTTGGTTTGACCACCCCTAATGTCTATCGAAAAATTTCTATACCAGTTATTATTATGCGCCGATGTACGTGGTAGATAGTAGTTAGCTATATGTACTGCTTCGGTTTGGGCACCCGGGCAGTATCACAGCCCTCACACATATCGAATGAGATTTGTGTGGCGCATATGTATTTGGTGCCTCTTTGTACCAATATCTATGTGTTAAAATAAATAAATAGCTATACGTAACAAATGTCAGTGAAGACTTACTACCCTATAAACCGATTGCCATTTTCATCTAATACTTTGAATCTAACCTCTGCATCGTTCTAATATACCCAAACAATGTACCGAAGGGATTCACAAACGAATAACAGTAACCCATGGATATTCTCTAAGGAAACGTCTATCAACCATAAATTAAAACAATTTGAACGTCTGGGTAGTATGCTCATCCTGTATATGGATTTCACTTATGCCATATGTAACATAAATTCGCACAAGCCAAACAACTTATTCTAAATACGTACTGAAGTTTAGGTAGTTGCGAAATATTAAGCTAGTGTTACAGCTATGGATGTGTTCTCAAACTTTGGCAAAATTTGAAAACCCCAACGATTTTTTCCAGAAATCTTTCATTGGATTTCGTTATTTTTGAATGATCATCGTTCATATTCAAAGCAAACAAACTGACATACTTGTAGAAAAAACTGCCCCGATATATAATGATATGGGTTCACTCGGATTATAATAATGAACACGTTCATTTTGCATTTTAAATAGCACCAGTATTACCATAAATCGAGTTGTGTTGTTCATGAAAATCATTGAAGCAATAGCAGTTTATAAGGCAGAATAATACAGGATATTCATTTGTAAAATGCATTCATTGAATGAACCGCAAGCAAGTCGGTGAATTGAAATTATTTATACCATGCTAACACACTTTTCATTGAATTTCAACGATGATTGCTGTCGAAGACAGGTGTTATATGAAGAAGCTACAATGTTCGAGCAAAGAAAACCTACCTTTAAAGAAGTTAGATCTTCACAAATGAAAAGTTCAATAAATAGATAAGAAACATCACCGGAAGCATTTATTCAATTATATATGTTAGTAACGACACGGAACAATAATCCTACTTGTCTTTTGTCCTTCGATTACGTGCATTGTGTTGATTAGGTCAAGAAAAAACTGTTTATTTTTTTCGATATCCACATATTCTCAAAGTAAACAAACAATAAACTACTCCGATATACATCAAGCATGACATCTTACATAAAAACATAAGTTTAATCGAAGATCATATAGACCTGATTAAATATATTTTTTTTAAAAAAAACATTACCTTGGCGTGAATTTGAGTGATTGCCACCCCAATTAGATGAATCGGCACGATCGAGTTGTTGCGCAGTTAAAAAATCTCCGATAAGAATTGCTTTACTAGAAGCAGATGGATCCATGAGACGACTATCAGAAGTTTGATGAGAAAGAATTAAAGAACCACATGATGGGATAAATGAAGACATCCATTTTTTTGCTGCATTCACGCTAGCAAAATCAGACAGTTCTGATTTTGAATGAAGGTTACTTGATAAGGAAGCAGTAGATACAGATGACTTATTAATATCCAGTTTATGACTTCCGGAAAAATCAACCGTGGACGAAACAGACATCACTGATGGATCAGTATTCTGAAAACATTTTAAATTATTTTGACGTTAAATTCGATTCGTGAATTAGCAAAAAAAATTCAGTAAAATGTGTGAAATACATTAACCGTCAGAAAATTCATCGGTTTTCGTAATAGTAATGAGGGAAAACATAACGTAATAGCAACCTAGGAAATAACTTGAAGTTATCTAATGATTGTCATTTAATATTTTACGGAATTTTTTTGATATTTTTCTCTTACAAAGAAGGTAATCCAAACTAAGCCAGTTATAAACGTAAACAAAGAAAAATTGTTTTAAAAATATGACTAAGTTTGATAAAGAAATGAATTAGCAGTTACTTGAATACCAAACAAAACAGTGAGTTATTGATTACAATACAATATAAACATACATAAGTGAAATACTAATTAGATAACTTCTACAGGTCAAACATAAATTACAATCAAACTATTTAATGGTTATATGAAAAATGTGGTAACAACCATACCACTCACCATTCCACAAACGCTAGCGCTAACAGCTGCAAATCGTGCAGCGGCTGCGTAAATCTCAGCTGCCGTTGTCGATGGAAAAACAATAGATGTATCTGAATTATCCGTAACCATATGACTAGAGACTAGACAACTTGGGATCACAGTTGAAATTGAAGTTGAAGGGTTCTTATTATGCTTAGAGTTTGTAATTACACTTGCCTTATTAGTTGAAGTAGATTGAGAGGAACTAGGACCTGTAAATTATGGACATCATTTATCAATACAAAAATGTTTATTATCTAAAATAATAACTAAGCTTGGATGATTTTATGCAATGTCAACACCAACAAGAAATCAAACAAAAACTAAACTTATTAGAAGTCCATAGAGTTACCTTTAATAAATGCAATTTAGCAAACAAGTACATATTTATGAAATCAGCTTTAAGTCGTATTTTTTATAAGAACTAGTGATACTACTAAGTAACCTAAACAGAATCTGGAATTGCTATCTAATGATTGGTACTCGAGTGTTTTAGGCGTAAGGTGTTTGCTGATCAGTAGGTACATCTATGGAGAACTTAAATGTGCGAAGTTAACAGCACTTTTTGACATAATAATTATATCAGATCATTTAATTCACAAAGCAAAACGTCGTGTTCTTGTTAGAACTATGAGGTTTACTTATAATTTCTTTATATCTGAAAAATCATTAATAAAACACAGAAATATATGAAACCGAGTCAATTTGAGAAAACCACTTGATAAGTTACACAGTAAAAATATGTAGAATGAGTTAATAATAGCGACACTAGTGAATCAAAGAAATCCTAACCTTAGAACAACCTACTAAATGTACAGTAATTAGCAATTTATTTTTGAAAATGAGTGTTGTTTTATTACTAAAAATGTTAAGCGATAAAACTCGGCAGAAATCTAGTGAAATCAAAATGGAGTGATGGAGATGCTAGATAAGTGACTTGAAATAATAAACATTTTCAGTGGGAAATATGCGAACGTACACCAATCTAATAAGAAACCCTGATATTAACAACATATTTAATGCCATGATATTATCTGTTAAAAATATAACAAAATGTTTATGTTTATCCGTACCTTTTACAAGTTATTAATTTATACTTATAGTCTAATTTTATAGTCGAAGATTAAGTACTCGAATAAAATCCACTTTAATCAAATTTTCGTTTAAAAAAAGAATAGAGCACGTATTAAGCAACCGTACAGAAAATAGAAAAATGAAAGTCCATAAATAAAAATATCTCACCTATCGAGGAGATACGGGAAGACAAAGTTTCAGTTGTGGTTACTTGATTATCACATGATGAAGGCTGAGGTAATAATAATACAATACAATTATAATAAAGAAATTAAAATAACACTTACATAACAAAAGTTTCAGCTTTTAGAAAACATACCGGCAGGATATCTCTCAGCTTGTATCAGTTAACGGTAATAACTAATCCAAAGTTAACTGAGTTTCCATAAAAAACGTAATTTAATAAGACAACTATGTGTCATACTAAAAAGTATTTCGAATCTAAAATACTAGTCGTCCGTAAGGAGAACACCTGATCCATAACTGAGTATCATCCCGCACAATGAGATGAAAATGTTTAATAGTGCTCAATAAGATTTTAAAGTTAAATAAACATATACATGATCTGAATAGAACCATTGGGTTTTTAAGAAACTAACATAATCTGCACAACTTCTGTGGCACAGTATCTATTAATATTTCTAGTCAGTAAGTCATATACAATGTATAACAATACTTATGTACGATAGCCCAGACTGATACATCATATTAACACAACCACATAACACTAAGAAGACGTTTCTCAGAATAGTAAACATTGTAATAGTATAGGGACTTTGGGATTCAAGTTTTAAGGGAAAACGAGTGAATGCATTTGCGCATACGCAAGAGATTCTGAGCTGCATCCGGTGATTACGATGGTCACGTGGACCCCGGTCAGAAAATCTGCACTTAACCGCATGGCTCAGTTCAATAGTCAGTCAGTCAGCTAAAACGTAGGGCCAGGCACATATATGCGTCGGTCCAAGTTGCCATATAGCATTAGCACAACAAGATGAACACCGGATTCATAGCAGTGGTTAAGTCAATGGTGGTAATATATAAAAGAAAGAAGAATTAGTTCGTAGAAAGAAAAATATGAAATAATTATAATTACTTCAATGGTAGTAAGAAAAGATATCCTATTAAGATATGATACATGGAGAAAGAATTAGTTCGTATAGAGAAAGGTATAAATTAAGTTTAATCTCACGGTTTAAGGGAGGACAAAGAGTGTATAAACCTACACCATTGTGATCGATTCTGAACCATGTCACCAAGAGTCTCCAACCATTGGTTACGAAAGTCACGTGGACCCCAACCAAGTAGTCTGCATCTACCAACATGGCTCAGACTAGAAGTTAGTGTCTTCAAGCACTGATGTCAATCCCTTGATGAACTGATCATATGTCTTGGTTTGGTCAACCTTAGCTTTCTACTAACCTCATGATGGTTGAGGATAAGTTACAAGTTCCAAAAACCTCAGTTGGTGGAGATTCACCACTTTGTCAGTTGATTTGTTATTTTTACCTAGCACCTTATGCTTGATATGAGCATTGCTCATTTGGTGGCTCCAAAACGAATGGTTCGGAGACAACTATGGTCGAATAATATATCTTACGAGTGATTTTGTCTCTTAATGGTCATACCTCATAACCAAACAGTAGAACAGAGCCATTTCCTGTGCAGTAAACTAGTCCTTTGGTTGACAGAAAAATATCTCAAATACACCACCAGTGACGAAAGTTGACAAAAGCCAATCGACATTTCTGAATCCGTGTCGAGATTTTGTCAGACATCGACGTGATTAGTAGGAGATTATATTGGTATATTAACATAAATACACCCTTATTTCCAAAGTGGGAAGTAAGATAGATCTGTTTTTACATTTCGTAGTTAAAAAGTCGAGATGACTAAGATATTGAAGCTTACTTTTAACAGATTTAATTATAGGTCGATTGAGAAGTATCGTATAATGCCTAAGTATGAAAATTTTCCGTCAGATAGGTCATTATTAATCTGCTGTAAATCAAAATGATTAGTCTACAAATGTCTGTGTTTTTACATTTAAGCCATTTACCAACGGCTTGTTTGAAAATAAGTAATCTACATAAACGTTTTCAGACAATGTTTATTTCGATTTGGGACTGATATTTATTCAAAAATTATAAATGTACTAGACCCAATGTGAAACAGTGGTTTAGTGAATATAACACTCAGCTTATAACTGTTAAGCCTCATATTCGACCTCAGACCACCTACAACGGTTTGAGCAGCTGGGGGGATGAGCGTGGCGTGTACTACCTATATCGACATGAGTAGTATATAACGATAGTCAGTGTTAGAATGTCTGACATAAGGAAAAAAGGGAAAAGAAAGCAACTGGTATGAAAATGCAGGAAAATGAAGCCAGAAACGACTGATTGCCTTTTTGCAGAGGGAACAGTCAAAATTAAGACAATTGATTAGTATTTTGCAAATTAGGTATTACCTGTATGGTTCTCAGATTTTAGTAAGATGTTCCGTAATTTCGATTGTTCCCACGTATGTTCTCGTTAACCACAGTATCACTAACCACAATTAATTAAGCCGAGTTAACAAATATTTATTTAAAAACGAAGAATATTTGAGCGAACAATTGTTTTCAATAACTTCATCATTAGGCTCTACAGTTATAAGTCCATAATTATAATATTTTACAAAGGCCAAAAATAAGGCATGTTTTAATGAGTTTGACAATGATATGTGTTAAAAATTGGTGAACGTTTGCATCTGTTACGATATATATATATATATACTTCAAAAAGAAAAAATTGTAATATTTGCAAATTAGAAAGGTCATTCAATAAAGGTCAGTAAATTGTTCAGTCACAATAAGATAATAGTACTATTGCAAAATTGAAAATAATTTTGTCAACTGAGATAATAATAATATTGTTGTGTGAATATAATATGTAATAAGGGGGGGGATGTTATCAAGGTAATTACGGTCAACAAATTGGGAATGATGGATATGAAGATTAACATATAGATAATGACAAATAATGATAATAAGGAAAATAAATAAAATAAAGGAAGGGGTAAGAGGTTTATAATATTCAGTCTAGGTATTCGGTGACCCAGTCATAGACCAGGGTAAACATAGATGCTGGATATATTTTTTCTGGATGCATAAATTAGGTCTTCTGGAGTTGATCCAGATGGATTCGGCTGTGTAAAGCAGTCGTAATCTAGCTCCTTGAGGTAGATATTTTGGAACTTGATATAAAACAGAGAAAGCTTCCTCTATTTTGATATGATGTTCACTATCTACTAAGTGAGAAAGAATGGTGCTGTTAAGCGATATGGTGACTCCTTTTCCCAACCATGCTGGTACATGTTCACGAACACGCAAGGATAAAGCCCTCTGAGTACGGCCTATGTAACTAGCTCTACAGGAGCATTTTAATTGGTATACACACTTGGAGGAGCCCATCTTCGGTAACTTATCCTTGATTAGTTGTGTGAGTACTGGTTTAGTCGAGAAAGTTATGTGCAACTTGGCGGCATGAAACGCCCTCTCGACAGATCTTTTGAGTCGACGTGTTAGAATATCACCCGCTATGTCGCCTTCAAAGTCAAGTTTCAGATATAAGGTCTTTTTACTGACTGTGTCGCAATGTCTTCTCTTTTTAATACTTTGTACGAGATATTTTTTGACGAAATTATCAGGATAGCCATTATTACGTAATGTGTTCTTTAGTATAACTATTTCTTCCTCCACACTGTCTTCAGAACATAATAACTTGATTCTGTGGTTGAGACACTTAACCAAATTCATTTTATATTGCAGAGGTGTGAAGCTTTGGAAATGGGTATACTGACCCGTCCATGTACACTTTCTAAACATATTTCGCTCTATGGGACCATCTATCCTTCTAGAGAGTCGGACATCTAGAAAAGCTGTGCTATTGTCCTTCTCCTCGCTGGTGAATTTAATGGCTGGGTGGACATTATTGAAAGCGTCTAACATCTCCTGTTTGTCGATATTTTCGTCACATATGATTAATGTATCATCTAGGTATCAACAGTAATAATCAAGCTTATTTAGGATGTCTTTAAGCGGTCCATTCTTTCTCACTTAGTAGATAGTGAACATCATATCAAAATAGAGGAAGCTTTCTCTGTTTTATATCAAGTTCCAAAATATCTACCTCAAGGAGCTAGATTACGACTGCTTTACACAGCCGAATCCATCTGGATCAACTCCAGAAGACCTAATTTATGCATCCAGAAAAAATATATCCAGCATCTATGTTTACCCTGGTCTATGACTGGGTCACCGAATACCTAGACTGAATATTATAAACCTCTTACCCCTTCCTTTATTTTATTTATTTTCCTTATTATCATTATTTGTCATTATCTATATGTTAATCTTCATATCCATCATTCCCAATTTGTTGACCGTAATTACCTTGATAACATCCCCCCCCTTATTACATATTATATTCACACAACAATATTATTATTATCTCAGTTGACAAAATTATTTTCAATTTTGCAATAGTACTATTATCTTATTGTGACTGAACAATTTACTGACCTTTATTGAATGACCTTTCTAATTTGCAAATATTACAATTTTTTCTTTTTGAAGTATATATATATATATATCGTAACAGATGCAAACGTTCACCAATTTTTAACACATATCATTGTCAAACTCATTAAAACATGCCTTATTTTTGGCCTTTGTAAAATATTATAATTATGGACTTATAACTGTAGAGCCTAATGATGAAGTTATTGAAAACAATTGTTCGCTCAAATATTCTTCGTTTTTGAATATTCTATGGGGATTTTTAAACTGCTGAAATATTTATTTAGTAAACGAATTACATTTGATTTTCAATTAGATCAGCGGAACTATTTTTTTCCAACCCCATTTTTTAGGAAAATAAGTGTGCATGAAGACCTTCAATGGGTATATGAATTAAATAACCGTTAGTTATTGTGAAATGAGATTTGAAGTCGCTGGATCAGATGAAGTGAAATGTCTTTTACTGACTTTTGACAGCTGGTGATATTTAGAGCTCAAACTAGAACTTTGATAATGCACTTAGGAAAACTTAATAGAAATATCTACATCATAATAAAGGCTTGTCTATCAAACGAAATACGATCAGTAAATACAATTGTGAAGATAAGTATTTTGTTTAGAAATTGCTAATTGTAACAATAGGTTCATGCACTACTATTTAGTATACTCAAAATAATACCTTGGTAAGATTTTTTTCAATAGCAAAGTGAATCAAATCCTTGATGCGTGTTGAAGAACTGGAAACCATTGCAGGATGTGTTCGGGGTTGAGCCAGTTTATTTGAATTAGTCACAGATTCTGCACACTGAGAATTAGCATTAGAAGAAACGGTTATCTGTTTAAAAGAATGAAAAGTCCATAAGATTTGGAACAATATTTCTTAGTGATAGTTTGTTCATTGCTGGATAGAAACTTGGGCAGTAACATATTTTCCAACAGCATGGCAATACGTAAACATTGAACATCAAAAATTATTAATTACTAAGTTCACGTTACTGTCCTGTCCTACAGAACATAAAGAAATGTGTTAAAGCATAACATGTCCACCTACAGATGGAAACTCTACTGATTCAGTTATATGAACTTATTGGGAAGCTTTCCCCTGGAAAAAGTAAGAAAACTATTCAAATATCACTTACATGTACTCCAGGATCACTTCTTACATTATCTCCAGACCGTGATTCTTTGTCGATCGTAGGAACTAGAGTATCATGTTCGGGTACCTTGACATCTACATTCAGGGGAGAAAAAAATTTCGATGTAGTCTGCACTTAAGAACAAATCGATGACAGTAACAAAAACTGAAATAAATCTGTTAGCCTGTTAAAATTACACTGCTGATAAGTAACCTAGGCAATATGTAATAAAACAGATTTCCAATAATATCAAAATAGATCATAAAAATGTGTTTCATTAAATTAACACAACTCATGATAAAACAGTCCGTCAGTCATAATCACCGTCAAACCTGACACACTTGTGTGTAGGCCCAAGTTGTCACACCATATTAGCAAAGAGGAATGAACAAAGGAGTAGATGGAACGACAGTAGTGTTAGTGAAGGTGAGAAAGTCTAAACAAAGAGGATCTATTCCGAAAAAAATGAAATGGAATAACGGAGTAGAAGGTATGAAATGAAACTGAAACCCTAAAGTACTGTGATCGATTTTTAGCCATGTCAGATATATGTTTAGTTGTACATAGAAATTGGTTTTGTTACCCATTATTAAAGAGAACACACAACTCCAAACCAAATACATAACAGGCGATACTAGATTAACCACATAAACAAGGCTAACATCCACTGTTATCTATTTTTTTATCAAGCCTAGCATATATAATTTTGCAAATACACAAGAACAGAGACCACTTATTACAGCTTACAAAAAACATCAATTAAACATATGAGAACGAACATCTTGTTTCCACTGATGGTCTTGCATTTATCTGTTCAAACTAAAGTGTAATTTATCTGTGTTAGGAGACTCTAATTAATCACATATATATACTTATATGTAAAATTTAAACGTTAATAAGGTAGTTTATGCTCAGACCCATTGGGGGGTAAACGCAATCATAAGTTTATCATATATATAAGGATAAATTTCAAAAGCAAAATCGTTAGCAATATTTTCGCATGTTTATAGTGTGAATTCATTGGAAAGATGTTTAATACTATTAGATAATAACCAGATTTATTCATGCATTCTTATATGGCGAGTAACAAATACTACCATATGAAAGACAAACCACTCTTGATTACAATAAATCTCATCCAAAAGTGATGTGAAAGTAAAGAAAATCAATCTAACTACTTACATCTCCAAAACGAGTATGAATATTTTAAAAAAAACGGTACAGATGAATCTTCGACTTATACTTACCCGAAGGAACGTGAACACTATGAGGTTCGACGTTATTTCGAGTACTGTTATTACCACCACGACTTCGCCCATGAGATCCAACATTGTGGTTATCGATATTAGAATGATTTGTATGTTGTGGTGGACGACCCCGTCCAGCTCTATTTCTTGCACCAGTACTCCCACCGCTACCACCATGATGCATCTCTTTTTTATTATTTCTGTATCCATCAGCATCCTGAAAATAAATAGGGAAAATGCATCAGTATATGTTCAGTGATCTTCAGAATATGAAGAGTAAAGAAAATATGTTTGATTGTACTATACTACCCATTGAAATTTGATCCTCAGGTATATATATATCATTGTTAATATGGTTAGAAAAGATATCCAAGATGGCATTAAAACGATAAATGAGAGGGAGTATCTAAGCTGCATGTAAAACAATACTGATAAGAAAATATTGTGATAAAAAATTACAAAGCCTAATGAATAAAGTCAGGTGAACACGAGAAGTTCGTGTATCTGGGTAGCTGCGCAAGTGCTGATGTTGGCGTGAGTAATGAGATGAATTCGTGTACAGTGAAAGTCAGAGCGGTTTATGCAAACCTGGGCCATCTTTGGCGCCTTTGTAATGTTAATCTGGCTGCAGAAGATCGGATCTACAACATGTTCTATGCTTGTGAAACCTGCCCTCTCCAAGTTGAGGATGTTGGACGACTCTCTGTGTTTGATCATCGTCGTCTCCAAAAGATTGCTGACATCCAGTGGCAACACCATTCAGTAATGCAAAGGTTCGGCATCGTGAAATAAGATACAGCAACGATAATTCATTTGGAGTCAATCACTATCTGTGATCAAATACTAGTAACATACGAGAACAATCTACTCTTAATGACCACGTTTCGCAGTCGTAAAGTAAAAAAGAACGAACTACTGCGCAATATACGCATCCCTTAATTGATAGACGGATATCTCGCCTAGGCCAAAAGTGACGTAAGTCGGTAAAAGGCAAACGAATTTGTACAGAGATTTTGTCAGACACCAAACCATTAGTGCTGATCAGACTTTCAAGATAAGTTAAGCTGTCGATGCGTTCGATCACTTCATTTCCTAAACCTAGTTCAGGCGCTGACGCAGGCCAGTCCCGAAGCAATAATTCTCATTTAGAGAGGGAGAAACGCAATCTAAACATCCTGATATTGTTGCCTGGTGCTACCAAAAGATTCTTCATCAATCTAAGTTAGATATAAGACATTGTCCTGAAGCAAATAGTACAAGCTAAACACGGGAAATCCGATTTGGTAAACAGATCTTGATATAATTGTAACGCCAAAACTCACGAAGACAATAAGTTACAGAAACAAACGTGAGACAAATAAGTGATCAGTCCACGATTATTATCAAGAAAATTCTAATAAAAACAAATAATTCATTGAAAGCAAATAAATAAATAGCATTCTTTCTTTGGGTAGTTCAAGTTCTAAATAAATCTTTGCGTTATCACCTAGTGGTTCATATCAATTTACGATATGGCTTACAGGGTAAAAAGAAATCCAAATATCCCAGATTTAGGAACCGAGACCAAAAATAGTGAGACATTTTCAGATGCTCAAAACACAACAGTAGTCTAACAAAAGTAACCATATACTGCTTATTGATACTCCGTAGTTATCTATCTTGATGTAGCCCAAATGAAGTTTAAATTGAACATCTTAAATTCGGAAGTCGATTTTTGAAGCCAAACTGAATGTAGATATTAATAAAGTATTAACGCTCGTTTAACAGTTACTTACAATGTAAGGCAAAGTGAAGAATATGATGTGAATAATTTTACCTTATGCTCAGCTGTTTCATTAGATTCAGGAAACCCAGAAGAATCAGTTTGTGAATTTTTTAATCCTCCTGGATCTTTTTCATCTCCTTCATTACGCTCTCCACGAGGGGAATTTATATTCGCATGCCCATTTTGGCAATTACTAGAAGATGGAGGGATCGAGTTTATATTAGTATTACTATGGCTTCCGCTACTCCCGCCAGCATTTGAATTGCTAGCAGCTCCACCAGCACTACCACCCCCTCCACGTTCAGTCTGAGCTGCTCGGCGTCGACGAGCATTATGCTTCTTCAACAGCTGTTTATAACCTTCTTTCTTTTTGGATAAATAGTAATAGTGGATACAGTCTGCAACAGATTTCCGCTCTAGGTATGAAGCTATCGAGGTAAAATTTTTAGGAGTGGCTAAATAGCGTTCTTTAAATATTTGCTTTTCTTCTTCCGACCACTTCGACAGATCTTGATTTTCTTGGAGCTGAGCACGACAATCTGTGACTAAACCTGATTCACATATGAATTGATATCGACGCTGCCAAAGTGCAAGCATAACTGGAGGATCAATCGCATATTCCTAGATACACAAAATTATTACAACATACAATTTCGAGGAAATCTTGAACGTAATGATTATTGTAGGAATGTGTAAAAAATAATATAACACATTAATCTAGCTATGAAAATACATATCCTATAAAGAAAAACATGGAAAAGACTACATAGTTAAGTTATGCTGTGTGATTTTACCAACAATAGTTATTTTGATCATAAAAGCTAGATTGTAGTGTTTGCTCAACTGTTAACTACAGTTTGATTATGATGCAACATGAAGAAATTTAAAGATGGCCACAACACGATAGACTCAAGAGGAATGTTATCAACTTAATATACTTATGTTTTACGACTGCAGCTGAAAAAATCAGTTGGTGCTAATCCTTTACTATTCGTTATGTACAGATTTTAAAGGGATAAAACATTAGTTATTTTTTCTAAAGTGGCTCAAAATGTCTCAGTGGCGCAAACGCATTCATTTCTTTTCTTTCACTCTATATTTTGTGTTTCACTATTAGTTCTTACATTTTATTCGAACCATATTCACCAAATATTTAGTCTTACTGTTGACTGATACTACTTTCATTCCAACTCCTTTACCATTCACTTACTCTATTTTAGGTCAATGTAATGATCCAGTGTGGCAATTTAAACACATGGATATCTCTTCCAAATCATACGTTGCTAACGTTAAACTAAATAACCGAAGTCACATAGAAATATCATGTGTAAGATATTGTTATGTTCTCTTTTATTACGACCTAGCCACTCTTATTGCTTAGTATTCTTGGACACTGTACTTTCTCGATAAGTCCCCAAATCAGAACACGGTTGAACAGGAACGTAATGATATTTCAAATAAACAAGGTTGGATATAAGTAGGAATCACAATAAAAAAAACGTTAGTAAATTTATAATTTTACACAATATTCAAGAGTCTTCCTCAAGTATCCACTCGGGAGGGGTTAGCTAAATGACCAATCAGCGTGCCGCAACACCATCCTGCACGGAAAATGCTTTAACTCAATCTATTTCCCGCTAACAGATATATTCGACTATTTTAGAGTAAATATAAGTGATTTATCGGGTATTGAACAAATAACTAGCGACTGCACTTCAACTTACAAACAGACAAGGTAACCCAGTTATCAAATGTTTTTAGCCACATTCACTTTAGGACAAACTGTTTATTATGGACCAAGAAATGTCAGATTATTTTGCCATATCAGACGATGACGAAACTTGTATTACCAGAATCAAAGGGAAATTGTAAATAATTATCTAATCAAATACCTTAAATTCACCTATTTGGACATATGCATCGTGCTAAGACAAAAGTATCATCAGCATTACAGTCTATGTACAAAGTGACCAGTGGAGTGGAAATTTCACACTTGTAAGTTTTGACAGATTTACATCGAAAATAGTTAAGGAATGAGATTCTGGCTATGAAATAAACTATAGTATTAACTTCTGAATATCCTTAACGACGTAATCTTAGTGACCTTAACAAATAAAAATAAATTACTCTAAAGACTATAGTTTGAAGATTATTTATAGGAAAAAAGAGAAACCGTTTATTAAGAAATCACCTTTAATTTATTCATCTCTTCGATAGCATCGTAGGGAGTAGTCTGAGAACCATCAGTTAGGTTAGAAACCCCGCCAGAATCTTTTTGGCAAACAAAACAAATAGAAAGACACAGAAAAGTTTATTTAGTGAATGAATACAGAACCCGTTTGAAGGGAGAATTATTCAGAAAGTAATCATTACAAAGGTCGGACTTCATAATTTCAAATAAACTGAGCGTTCGGTAGTCTTAGTAATAAAATATTTTTTGAGAGAAACTAGAATTTCTGACGTTTCGTGTGAGACACTTCTTCATAATAAATAACTAAACGAACACGAGTTTGAACAGTATGGTGGGACAGACAAAATATTTAGTTAACTCAAAATCTAAGTAGGTCTGATTACGTCAATGTCATATATTTCTTGGTCTAGGTGATTTTGTGTGAGATCACCGTGTATACTTGTGAGAATAATAGATGAGAAGTAGAGTTGAAATTTGTATGTATTTATGTGCATTAATGGTCTGAAAAATGAATAGAACTAAATGTGGTTGTTTGAAAACATGGACCAAGTTGAATGGATAACCAGACCATTCCGCTAATTGAGGACAGTGGAATTAAAAGTTATACGAAACGCTTTCTAATCGGAAAAACTATTCTGAATTATCTTGATATTTTTAATACCGATTTGGTGGTTATTGAAAGCACACTAACAGTTCCTCAAAAAAACAGGAGCACAATAAGAAATAAACAGGTCTCCATCCTAACTATTGGTATTACTAAGATGAAAAAGTGGTTGGATACTTGAATTTTCGTCACGATCTGACCTTTTGTTTGTCTACTTATACCTCATTTTGAAAATGAGTAAACTTATATTTCAGCAAGGGTAGATTTGTACTCACGGCTTTAAACCACGCCATAAGAGAAGTAGTGACTTAGTGGTTAAGGAGCCCAAATTTCAGCTACTAAGTCGTAGGTTTAAATCCCACTTTATCTAATTCAGTTTGGGCAACCGAGAACTATCACTAGTTCTCATAACTGAAGAGTGAACCTGTTATAGCCTCTTTCTTCTTACGGTTATGACCCAGCTATTCCTATTGCGTAGTATTCTCGGACACCGATTCACTTGACAAGTCCCCAAATCAAAACACGGTTGAACAGGAAAGAGATTATATTCCAAATAGCAAGTCAGAAGCCAGTAGGAAGCACAATAGGGAAAACGTCAGTATATTTTTAGTTTTTACATAAGAAGATTCTAGAGTCTTCTCCAACTATCGACCAGTGCTGATTGGATAAGAATTAGCCAATCAGCGTGCACCAAAGCAATCATGCATTGAGCATGCTTTAATCTAGTCTATGTCCCGCTAACACCTCCCCTCTGAGCAGATTCGTAGGATCTGGTGCTAGGGTCCAACTGCGACTGAGTGACTGGCTTGTGCTTTCGATTAGTCCATCGTCTAGGCAATGAAGAATTATCACTTTTTCCTTGCACAGAGACTGGCATGTCTGTTCCCGGCGTTTTGATTTTTCTTAAAAAAAAGTATGCATAACTTTTAATTCTCCAACATTCTCCTCCTCCGCGAAACAATGTCGGATCCTTATATCTCCAAGTTACAAATAATAGAACTTTATTTAAACGACGTTTCTCGCATTGAATGTCGGATCCACTAGAAACGACTAGATGATAATGAACGACCTTTGATTTGAGGTCAAAGTTCTGAAGCATTACTTTCAAATCCATTAGGAATTTCATCAGTGGATAATGGATCATTACGGAAATCATCATCTAACAAAATTAAATTAGACTTTTGACCATAATTTGACTCAGCTGATATATTTTCCTGATTTTTATGAGAAATTTCATCAAAATAACATGCATTGTTCTGAGAACCCATGTCTGATACATTGTCATTAGAAATCGAATAAGCTGATTCAATATAAGTTTCTGTCTCACAATGATTTTGAGTAACATTCGGTATAATTGGGTTCGTTGTGTCACTGCAGTTATTTTCTGAATACGAGTCCCCATAGCTTTCTTGGCTAATATCACGTGGACCATAAATTTGTTATAGCTGAAAGTTATTTTCAGAGCTAGACAGGACCAGTAGTGCTTCATTCAATTCTGGACTCCGGGCTTCATCTACAGGGTCTGACTCTTGATAATCTCGTATTGCCACAACTTTATGAGCATTCAGCACAGGATTTTCTTGCTGTGAGCCGGACACGTTACAAATATTACGTTCTGATTCAGGTATAAAGGGATTTGAACCCTCCACTAGATATGCTTCTGAAATGTCTGTTACTGCATCATAAACAGATTTCTTATTTTCTGGTCGAGTGAAAAGTGTGCTCAATAGTTGTTGTTGCAAGGCTAACAACTTCTGCTGGTGCTGTAATATTAACCGCAACTGTTCTAAAGAAATCGCCATTTTTCTTTAGTTTTTCCCCGTCGCCACTGTTATAACTCCTGTTTTCTTACGGTTATGACCCAGCTATTCCTATTGCGTAGTATTCTCGGACACCGATTCACTCGACAAGTCCCCAAATCAAAACACGGTTGAACAGGAAAGAGATTATATTCCAAATAGCAAGTCAGAAGCCAGTAGGAAGCACAATAGGGAAAACGTCAGTATATTTTTAGTTTTTACATAAGAAGATTCTAGAGTCTTCTCCAACTATCGACCAGTGCTGATTGGATAAGAATTAGCCAATCAGCGTGCACCAAAGCAATCATGCATTGAGCATGCTTTAATCTAGTCTATGTCCCGCTAACAGAACCGAAGCCAAGTACAACAATAGATACCTGATAATGGGTTAATAATAAGACCAATCATAATAATGTTCACCTAACAAGGTCAAAAATAAAAAAACTTATCATAAGATTTTGTGTGATATGATATAAAACAAGCACGAACTAATTTAACAAAAATAAACAGACCATCCTCGATCCCTGGTTTAGTGTATTCCGTGTTTCCCATCTCCCTGTCTTCGCGATTTTTTTTAACTTCCGGCATCGCTTTCTCAAAAATATCTCGATGACGAAGATCACGTTGACGACGTTTGGTCGTACTGAGTGATTTGTCCATCTTTTTGGTAAATATCTGTAAATAAATAAGCACATTATATGAATAATTAAAACACAAAGTTAAGTATTGCGCATCGTTAATTCTACATATATCTTAAAAATCATATTTACCAGGTACGAACAGGAATGATCAAGGTGTATACGATGTATAGTAAGCGGGATGTAACAATCACTTTAAATAATTTGGAAAATCCAACTTACAACATTAATTACAATCAGGTTAGAATAAAATTATTCCGTACGACACAATTTATTATGAAACAATAAATATATGTGTCCAAACAGAAACGGTACAAAGGATTCACCATGCCGACTGATCAGCATACGATGCAGAAATACAAAAAATCCAACTTTGTGACAAAATATAAGTATATTTAGTCCACAGTGATATCTCAATTCTACTAGGGTTATGTTGATACTTAGTCGTAATATTATTTTATTAGAAACGTTATACTACTGAATACCTGCTTATAAAACCGATTATACGACGCTCATAGGATGTATGAACATACTCTAGAATTTCGTCCGTATTGTTGAGCCAAAAAACTGATACGACTTTGTTCAGCACGGAGACGTCTTTGAAGATAAACAACAAGTTTTTGACGGAAATGGTTGCGAAAGTTGGATTGTATAGCCCTTACACTTGATAAGTCGGATGGTTGGCGATAAAATGGCAGGGCATGTGGTCCAGGTCGAACTTTGGGACCACAAAGTCTTGTGAAAATGAGATGACGCTGACGAGTGCGTTGGCGGTTGTCAGAAATAATTGCCTGAAATCAAAAGAGCACGAAATTAAGAAATATAATTCGAAGGCAACGAAAATAGTTTGCATCTGTAAATAAAACACCAGCTAGTTTTACTGCCATATGAGACTATAAGAGCAAACAATAACTGATCCATCCTCCGAATTAGCATGGCAACATACACGTATAATCACTTTCAAAACTGAACCTAGTGACCTCAAATTTTGTTTTAACTTCACCATAAGTAGTGGAACACAAAGTCTACTTATTAATGGTTGATAATAAGTAACTCTCGTACTTCAGCTTATAGACCTTACAATTGTTTTTAGCACGAAATGCTCGGTAATACAATTTACATAAAGTTACAAAAGTATTACCTGTATTGGGTTTTCGTAATTTCGTTCGAAACCGGTTTTACAAGTGAAAGATACTTCCGGAACAGCAAGATCCCCTTTATCTGATTTTCTTTCATAATCGTTACCGTTCAAATTATTGTTCGATGTATCGCGTACAGGTGCTACCGCAAGTCGAGCTGTTAGACGAGCCTCCCGTTCACACAGATTTCTTAGATGTGATTCTTGTTTATTAATATCAGCATCTAATACTGTCAGTTGACGGTTAATTTCTTCCCTTTCACGATGAAGCTTTGCATCTTGGGCATCCACTAGACGAGACTCATCAGGAGCAGGGGATATGGCTTCAACCTAAAAAATATCCATAAACAGATTTGCAATATCTACAGAAAAAATGAAAAGAACAACCAATTGTTTACTGATTAGTACCTATAGGCGACTTAATAAGGAGCTTGTTGGTAAAGAATGGAAACTACTACAACATCCGTGCTGAAATTCACAGATAGTTATAGAAACTGGAATTAACTACATAAGTATGTGTTCTAATAAGCATAAAGTAAGAAAGCCATATTATTATGAGGTAAGAAGCTGAGATTATTCATTTACTACACTGGCATACGAAGAAAGTTAGGGGTGGTCGAACCAAAACGTGGCATCAGTCCTTGAAGTCACTTTCTTCTGGCCCGAGCCATGTTGGTAGATGCAATGGTTGGAGACTCTAGGTGAAATGGCTCAGAATCGATCACAATAGCGTACGTGTATACACTATTTGTCCTCCCTTAAACCGTGAGATTAAACTTACTTTATACCTTTCTTTATACGAACTAGTTCTTTCTCCCTGTATCATATCCTTATATGCAATCTTTCTTTACATATTATTACTAACTAATTCTATGAATTTGGTGTTCATCCTGTGCTAATAAGTTGTGGCAACTTGGACCGATAAATATATGTACATGGTCCACCGCTGTAGCTGACTGGTTGACCCATAAATATAACCTAAACTGGATATCGCTGGAAAAGCTGACTGATAGTTTCATGACTGGTAGCAAAATTTTATAACCTCGGAAAACGTGTTTTTAAATCAACAACGAACACTTATATTACTTGGGATTGTGGTAAACACTAATTCAATTTTTAACGTTACCGACAACTGTGATGATCAATTTAACCATAGTAAAATAATCACCTGGAAATGAGAATTAAGTGAAGCAAATTTCACTTTATATCCATAGTCAATCTGAATTGATGTATCTAGCAGTGATTTAACAAGCAACATATATTATAACACCTTCATAAATTTTATAGTACCTCAGAGGGGTACAGGAAAAATGCAATGAAGATCCAAGAGAAAATAAATGCGCACGCAGATGAATCAGTCTTAAGATTTCTCCACGTGATATTACTTGAATTATATCACAACTGGCGAATTTTAACTCTTCCTATGGCTCTTCTAGGGTCACCGATGGTCCCAAGCCCAGGTAAAGGAGGAGGGTTGGGTGTGGGGTCAGCAAACGCATCCTATCGAAAGCAACCTTGATAAACAACGCTAACCAGAATAAACAAGTCAAACTATTTAAACTCTGTCCTCCGGTTTGAAGGATCTTCATTCAGAAGAATTACGACGCCTCATAGTGAAGGCCGAAACTCTTCGGAAGTCATGAGACTGATCCTCTTTCTAACATAGGGGGTGAGCAGCTGAGAAGATCGCCAACATCATCCTCAATTCATAAGACGGACTAAACTGCAAAGTCGTGCATTGAGGGCAGTTTATATATGCATTCCAAATGAGTACCGGAATCAGACAGAAGTGCTCACTCTCACTATTTCTCTCTTCTAGTGGTTGACTGAATTACGGAATACAATGAACAGATTGGATGCAACTAGATGATTTGAACTCTGCAGATGACATAGGTCTTCTATTTCATACACACCAACAGATGAAGGTCAAAACAACTAGGGTAGCAGAAGACATTGCATCAGTAGGCCTCAACATACACAAGCGAAAAAACCAAGATCATCAGATACGACACGGAGAACACCAACCCAACCACATTTCATGGAGAAACTCTGGAAGAGGTGGGTAGCGGCATCTTCCATGAACAAGGAGGATCGGACGCAGACGTAAAGGTAAGGATTGGTAAATTAAGGGCACCATTCTTACAGTTGAAGAACATATGGAACAACTGTCTGCAAGCCAACATCAAAGTCAGAATCCTCAACACGAACGTCGAGGCAGCTCTGTTGTGCATAGCCTAAACTTTGAGAACTACCACAACCATAATCAAAAACATACAAATGTATATAAACAATTGTCTAAGCAAGATACTCAAAGTTCTTTGTTGGTCGGATATCATCAACAACAGCCAATTGTGGTAGAGAACAAACCAGCTTTCAAATGAAGAGGAAATTAGGAAAAGATGTTGGAAGTGGATAGGACATACATTGGGGAAGTCACCAAACTGCTTCATGAGGTAATCGCTGACTTGGAATCCCGAAGGAAAACGGAAAAAAGGATGGCCAAGGAACACACTGGGCCGAAAATTGGAGGCAAATATAAAAAGGATCAATAGTAACTGGAAAGGATAGAGTTGAACGGAGATTGTTGGTGGGTGGCTTATGCTCCTACATCAGGCGTAAGTTGAGAATTCGGTTTCAAACTGTAAAGCTGGTTGTCGACAGTTTGGTAAATTTCCAGTCGGTTTTATCAAGTTATAGTGTATGCATAAGGTTAGCTACGCGTGAGGTCAAGTGCCCGACGGTAGCTGCTACCTTGACGCGATGGTCGGGCTTGTCTATCGTGATGACCCATCTGAGCTATATTGGCTGGAACATATGTTCCTGAAGGTTCTACCACGCCAGGCAGGTCGATTGGAGAACGGTAAGACTAAAAGCAGCAACTCGAGGTCTGAGGGCGAAGTCGTAATGCTGACTGTAGAGGGGTGTGACAACAATAAGGTGTTTCCCTCGGACAACCAGCAACTGCAGCGATGCTGTCTTCTCACAAGGAAGGGATTACAAAAGGTTGACCCTAAAAATGTCACACCTCACCTTACCTCACGGATTTCCATCTCCGGCGGTAAGGTCCTTTGAAGAACGGAGCTAACACATTAAAAACCTCCCACAAGAGGACCGTGCGCTACCGGCCTCAAGCAGTTGTCCCTTGGGCTCTGCGGTCACGCTCCCAGGTCGTTAAGGCCAACATTAATACAACTTCCTTTTCAGGTTCCTCAAGAAATACCCTTCCATGGTGTGGGCAGCCGGGAAGCGATATCAGCCCATATACCCGTAACAACACATGAGACCAAGTTGGTCACAGTCAAATCCTTCCTACATCTCTTAATAACTCTCTTACCTCCATGACTAACCCTTCTCACGTCCCTTTATCACCTCAAACCGCTAGGCCAAGCGATTCGAGTACGCGGAACGTTATTACTGTTCTCCTGAAACCACTCTCAAAACTACATGTAGGAGCTTTTAACGTCCGAACACTGTGCCAAATAGCACAGAAGGCTTCCTTAGCCAATAATTTAAAGTCTCGCGCCATCGACGTGTGCTGCGTCTCCGAAACTCGCATACAGGATCCGAGTAGCGTCATTCATTTGGCATCACCATGTCAAAATAAAGAACCAACTCGATTCACCCTTCGTGACTTTCGTAACCAATGGTTGGAGACTCTTGGTGACATGGCTCAGAATTGATCACAATGGCGTCGGTGTATACACTCCCTGTCTTCCCTTAAACTAAGAGATTAAAATCACTTCATATCTTTCTTTCTACGAACCAATTCTTTTTTCTTGTACTATATCTCTATATGCAATCTTTCTCTTATATATTACCACCTTTGACCTAACCACTGCTATGAATCCGGTGTTCATCTTGTTGTGCTGATGCGGTATGGCAACCTGGACCGATGCACATATGTGCCTGGTCCTACGTTGTAGCTGACTGACTGACTGACTCATATGTGGATCAGTTTGCGTTACCATACCACATCAGAACAGCGAAATGAAATTACCCAGACAAATGCCCAGAGTAATAGAATTCGTATATGTAAAAACATAGTTAGGCATAGATTATATGCTTAGAGAAGAAAAAAATCCATTTGAAGGATAAGAGTTAAAAAGTTTCGGAAAAAAGAGTGTATGTTTCTAGGTCACTGTAATCGGATGCGTTGCTATCCTATCCAACGTCTCCAACTATAAGTGAATTTAATTCCAAATTTAGTATTTTTAATTTATCGCCACCTGACTATTATCATTCTAATACTAATCAACATATGTTCACTGGTGACTGGCTTCAAGAAGTATTTCCTGAGGTTTTGGTGAGAAGCAGTGATCAGTAGATATAGTAACTCAATGAAGACAATGGTGGATGTGTCGCTCAATTTCGTGGATTAGTTGAAGGTTGACATTAACATCATTGTATGCCGGCTCACTGGTTTAGTGGTTAAGCGTTCGCGCGCGAGAATGATATATCCGCGGTTTAAATCTCATTAGCTGGGATCGTGGATCATCACTGCTGAGGAATTCTACAATAGGACGAAGCGGTCGTCCAGTGCTTCCAGGTTTTCCGTGGTTGTTTAGCTTCAATTGACTCATGAACTCAACTATTGAAATTATGATGATTTTTTTGGTGAATAACCTATTATATTGTGAGTTATTTTACTACATCTTAGTGTATATACATTTCATATGTAACGTATTCAAATGATGATATTATATTCTTATCTTTTATCTTTTTGTACCATTAGTTTAATCTCTTGTTTTTTTAAAATAATAAGCTTATGTCCCAGTCATTATTAACGATTTAATCTCACACTACTTACAAGTAACTGGAAAATGGGCATGTAAAAGTTTTCTGTTATTTCAGCATGATTATTTTGCTGAATTTTACCATTACATTAAGTCTCTTAGCTATTATATTTCACAAACATGTGTAAAAATGTTTTGGCAATAATAGAAAGTTTGGGCATTGTATACCCGAACTTGGTGAATTTGCGCTGTCCGACTGAACGGAACAGTAAGAATCCGGAAAGATAGGGACACTCGTCGTTGCCTCTTCGTCGTCTCTGCCTATTCTCCCATTGACTGCAGCTCAGATGATGTAAAAGATGAGTTTTACAGAAAGCTTCCGGACCTTCTCCGAAAAGCTAAGCGCTCGGATGTGGTAATAGTGGCCGGTGACTTTAATGCTCAAGTAGGTAAACTAAGCGATAGGGAAAGACACTTGGGTGGATCTTATGGTGTCGTGGCTCAAAGAACAGATAATGGCGACCGTCTGTTGCAGCTATGCTCAAATAATCGCCTGTTCCTTGCAAATACTAACTCTAAGCATAAGGAAAAACATCTTTTAACATGGCGACCCCCTAATTCGTCCCAACGTTGGACCCAAATAGATCACATCGCTATCAGCCACCGATGGAGGGGCTCGATAGAAGACTGTCGCTCATTCTGGAGCACATGCCTAGATTCAGATCATGCTCTAGTGCGAGCGCGTATTTGCTTGCGTCTTACTGGACGTAGGAAAGATCCTGCAAGGAAACCTCTTGGGGCCCTACTTAATGATAGTCAAGCTAAGAGTATATTTCAGGAACAACTAGGAAAACAGTTAGGCAGCCATGTATGTGATGCCCACCCCGAGGCAGCATGGAATGATATCCGAAAAGCTGTGGAAACAGCAGTGATATCTGCTAGTAAGGTAAACCAGAAGGTTAGGGAGCAACACTGGATCTCAGCAGCATCTATCGCACTGATAGATGCTCGGAAACTCATTCCACATGGCTCTGAACATAATGAAGAGCAGAGTCAGCTTAAGCGCAAGCTGACAAGAAGTCTACGCAATGATCGCGAACAGTTGTGGGTAGCGGAAGCAAGAGAGATGGAAAAGGCAGCGGCAATAGGTAATAGCAGACAATTGTTCAGACTCGTTAAGGAAACCGGAATTAGGAACCCGATCGTTAGCGAAACAATCTCAGAGAAAGATGGACATATTATTCATTCTCAATCCAGGAGATTGGATCGATGGGCAGAACACTCTAGGGATTAGTTCAATTGGCCTTCAGCCACACTTCGGTTTCCCACGATCTCTAGTCAACCTGAATGGCAATTTAATGTAGGTCCTCCGTCCCTTTACGAAGTTGAAAAAGCCATAGGAAATCTGAAACGAGGGAGAGCAGCAGGCCCTGACAGCTTTACTCCTGAGATTTTTAAGGATGGTGGTCCAGTATTAGCAATGAGATTAACTGAGGTCTTAGGTAGAATTTGGGAGCTGGACGTAATCCCATCTGACTGGTCTCAATCACTGATTGTGCCAGTTTTTAAGAAAGGACAAAAGTCCTCTTGTGACAATCACAGAGGAATCAGTTTGACAAATATAGTGTCTAAAATATTAGCTTCAATAATACTTCGACGCCTAACTAAAGCTTGTGAAGAGCAGATTGGAGAAAACCAGGCTGGTTTTCGACCTGGACGTGGTTGTATAGATCGGATATTCACACTACGTCAGGTCCAAGAACATAGAAACACATTCAGACGCCCCATAATAGTAGTATTTCTCAACGTATCTGTGTGCTAATGTGGTATGGCAACTCGAACTGATGTACGTACGTACGAAGTTCTACGTTTTTACCGACTGACTGAGTTCAAGTACATAGGAATAAAAAATCTTCACATGAACCTAAGAAACGTCAATATTCCCGACATAAAAAGCTTTGAAACAATATTACGAATTTGGGTTAAATAAAAATTCACTGAAGTAGCAGTCGTACAAAACAACTGGCGAAATCTAATTTTAAAATATCAGGAAACAAACACGTACCTGTGGGTGATAAGCCGGTTCTTTAGTCTGCTGTCGAAGCACGCCACTCCCCTGAGGGAGATTAGAATGCCCTATCACATGATGTTGGGAACCTGGTTGTGGTAAAGGATGATTTGACTGGTGGAAACTGCCTTGACTAGGATGAGTAGCAGCAGGTGGATGATGAAGATGGCCAGAAATCAGGCGAGAGGGGATTTGGGAGACTGATGTTGGATGTGATGCTTTCGCTGGCATATGTGACAATGGAGGCTGACTAGTTACAGTTTGTGATCCCAAGACAGGTGCACTAAGTAGGGCTTGCCCGGAAGTTATCGCCTGGGTAGACGCAGTTGCATGAGGAAATGGTCTGTTATTGTACGAGGTTAGAAGTGAACCAGGTAAGGTACCCATCAGTGAACCTGTATACGCCGAACTGGAAGATGGCAAAACATGTTGTTGGTTGAATAAATGAGTGCCAGAAGTTGAATTACTACCGAATGAACCATGATGTTGAATATGCGGTTGATAAGCAGCTTGATTTGAAGTGACGATAGATGATGGGTTCGATAAGCTACTATTATTAATGGATGTATAAAAAGGTGTGAGGGCTGCTGCGGCAACTTCTGTGGCTGCAGAATAGGCGTTCGGATTAAGAAAGTTAGAACCAGCTGCAATACTTGCCATCGCCTTACTAGCAACAACACTCCTCAACAAAGCTTCCATCTCAGCTGGTGCAATTGTATTTGTTACATGAGCAGAAGGTAAGGATGAAATGGAGTGTGGTAGTTGGGATCCTAAGGAAATACGAGGTCTTTTGTTTGGATGAGTTGAAGGGGGGGGCAGTTGTGAACGATGATTCTGAAAATGTTTGAAGCGTATAAAAAGACGAATACTGAGTAGCCTAACAATTAGTAGTTAGAACGTCATTGAAATACAAGGTAAGGCGACAATCAGACATAGAACTATGTGTCAGCTGTTCAAGTAGCAGAAAAAATCCTGTATATACCACATATAGCATTTACACAGGTCTAACGTATAAATCAGCAATTGGAAAGATATGAAGGTTGTTGTATGTAAATAACAGTACAAAATGTAGCTGAACACCTGATCCACTGAAAAGGGAATGAATATGTCTTTTCGACACGTTACTAACGCCACAACTTGAAGTTTTGTACCAACTTAACTAAGATGTAATCAAAAATGATTGGATGTGGGGTGATAAGGTTCAAAATATCGCAATGGTTCAGATGTACACATCCTTTATTCTCCTCGAAACCCTGAGTTTTCATGCCTTTTACTCCCTCAATGTTACTCTTTCTATGTGATGCTTCTTGTTATAAACGAGACTACTACCATAATGACTGCTCTGCTACAAATCTTTCCTTCCTGTGTGCACTGATGTAGTGCAGTAAGTGAGAGCTATGCACATTTATGCCAATTCGTAAACTGCTTATGATTGACTGAACACACTGAAAACAATAAGTATGTCTAATTAAGATAGGTTTTGAGTGTAGCAGAAAGAGAGAGAAAAACAGTTGATGCCACTTTTAACTAACTTTTGTTGTTAAAGTAAATCTCGTTACAATTTTGGATATCGAGCAAATAACACTTGACAATCATATGATAAAGGCTATATGTCAGAATATATCAGATAACTCCTGATAAGATTATAGACAAATTTATTAGTATCTGGACTACTGTGAAGCAACAATTTTAGCGTCGAAATCATTATATCCGGCGACGTAAATGTTTCGCTAATTCTACAATTTAGGTTAACTTTACTTGTTGACTAGAAGGGAATTTTGAAAGATATTTACAAAAATATATACATTCTATTTTTAATTGTTACACCTTACAGTTAATAAAGGATCAGTAAAGAATATTTCAATTATTGCCTTGGTGATACCTACGAAAAAAACACTAACTTGGTAAATATTGCTTCCAGGACTGGGTGATAGTGATGGTGAAGCCCTTGTCTGATGTGCATTGTGCAAATTATGATCCAGATGTGAGGTAATTGGCTGTGATGGACTGACGTGAGAACTCATTGTCCCGAATCCTGAAGGACCTGGATGACTTCCGCGATGATGAAGGACAGCCTGAGACGCTGAAGCTGGACGAGCTAAAATAAAAATTAACCTTTATGCAGTCAGTTGAATTTAACCGTAACTGTCTACAAACAAAACTACATAGCAGTCAGTCAGTCATCTACGATGTAGAACCAGGTACACATAACATACCACGACAAAACTTTATATCATGCCAGTTTATTCAAACTGTGATGATCGCACCAGAACATAGAATTACTCATAGAATCAGAAACTAGGGACAATAAATAGATCTTTCAGTGTGGGAATTCATAATCGAGCATATCAGTTTGAAATTCTGGATAAATGGTTATATAAGATTTAAATAGACGAAGACTAAGTAAAAAGGATGCACTGTGACTCAGTAACTACGGAAGCTGTCAAGCGCCCGTAGCCACCGAATCCGAAAACCGGCAAAGTACTTCGAACCAGCTTCACTCACAAACAATGATCTTTTTGTCTAAATTTGGTTTTTTTTTCAACTCTTAAACTTACATGTAACCTTAGTGAGGTAGAATATATGTTCTGAATGATTTAGAAATTTGTGTAAACAAGTGTGTATTGGTATGACTGAGTGCTCAGTATACTGGAAATGAATCCTAATTACATTGCTCGGTAGTATATACACAAATATGAGCACCTTGTAACGTTGTCAATGGCATCGAAAGTGATGTAATGATGAAATTACAATAGCCATGATAGGTTTTTTTCGATAGACACCAGCTCCTAAAACGTAGCTTGCACGGTTCATGAAGCTTATAACATTGTTGGGATAAAAAAAACACTAGTAGCAAGATCCACATGAACCACAAAGAACCAGTGGATTTCTTCAAAGTCTATCACACTGATGGATTCTTGCAAACTCGTCCCATCAGGTTCCGAACATGATGAAGAGCGACAACAAATCAGATCTAGGTTAAGAAAAAGTCTAAGAAACGACCGTGAGCAGTGGTTGGCAACGAAAGCAAAAGAGATGGAAAAGGCGGCGGCTATAGGGAACACAAGACAGCTTTACAGACTAATAAGAGAAACTGGAATTAATAAGTCAAGTGTAAGTGAGATTATTTCAGAAAAAGACGATACTCTCATCTACTCCCAGTCCAGACGTTTAGAACGATGGGCGGAACATTTTAGGGAACAGTTCAGCTGGCTTTCAGCTACTCTACAACTACCCTCCATTCCCAGACAGTGTGAATGGAACATTGAAGTAGGTCCCCCAACTCTTACTGAAGTTCAAAAGGCTATAGTTGATCTGAAACGAGGAAGGGCAGCTGGTCCAGATGGACTGGCTCTAGAGGTCTTTAAGGATGGTGGTCCAATTTTAGCGATTAGGTTGACTAATATTTTAGCTAAGATCTGGGAGTTAGACGTTATCCCATCTAACTGGTCACAATCACTTATCGTCCCAATATATAAGAAAGGGTCAAAATCATCCTGTGACAACCACAGAGGGATTAGTTTAACTAATGTATTATCTAAAATACTAGCTTCGATAATTATCAGACGCCTAACTAAGACTCGTGAACTGCAAAAACGAGAGACTCAAGCTGGCTTCAGACCTGGTCGTGGCTGCATCGACCACATATTCACCATTCGTCAGATTCTAGAACACAGGCATACTTATCGGCGTCCGACAATACCCCCGAATGCCCTGGTAAGGTCGAGAGTGGGGAGAGTCCGCTCTCCCTCTCGAAATACTCTCACACGGCCACGCGTATACAGCCTCTGCCAGGGAAGTCCTACTCATTGCCTTCTCGTGGCGGGGGTGTTGTTTACGAAAATGAGAGGACGAAAAGCGAATGTCCGGCGCTTTAACAGGGTCACAAATCAATGGTGCACATGGGCTCCAGTATCCTGCGGGAACAAATGGCGTATGAACCAATCATTGGTCACTGGCTACCATGGGATTGCATCTCCTTACGATGCTCCATTGCCTTGTGGGTTAGACCCTCAGGTCAAAGGCTCGGGGAGTGGCCCCCTAAGATAACCACCTGCTTCGGTTTGGGCACCCGGGCAGTATCACAGCCCACACACAAACGATGAACTCTATGTCTACGGCAACCACTTTTCTCGCTCCGAAAAACAATCAGTCGATTTAAATAAATATCACTACTATTATTGTCATTATTAACACAATTATCACTACTATTATTCTCATTATTATTATTATTTCTCACATTATTCATTCAGGTTGCTCAACAGATAGGGCTGGCTATGTCTTTGGAAAGTCTTAATATTGATGTTTGCTGTCTATCCGAGACCCGTATTCAAGACTCTGGCGAAGTACTACAAATTCGATCTCCATCTGTCGCTTCGAAAAGCTTGTTTTACGTGCGCTTATCCGGGGACCCTGTGGCATCTTCGTCTAGTCTTGCTGGCATTGGTGTCGCACTAAGCGCTAGAGCTGAGGCAGCACTAGTCGATTGGATCCCCATTAACAGTCGGTTATGTGCTGTTAGATTAGAAAGTTCCATCAAAGTGAGAAGAAATCGGCGTGAGAAACGACGTCTTTTCGTCATCTCCGCCTATGCCCCTACAGATTGCAGCCCGGATGCAATCAAGGATGAGTTTTACCACCAGTTATCTGTTCTTCTCCAGAAAGTGCGTTCGACAGATATTGTAGTACTAGCCGGAGACTTGAATGCTCAGGTCGGACGTCTAGGCACAGAAGAGAGTCGTTTAGGTGGCCGATGGGGACTCGTTGGTCGCAGGTCAGATAACGGGAACCGTCTACTGCAACTTTGCACAGACCACAACCTGTTTCTGGCTAGCATTAACTTTCGGCACAGTCATCGCTGATGTGCCACCTGGCGTCCCCCCCTCTGCATCCCAAGCCTGGACTCAGATTGATCACATCGCGATCAGCTACCGCTGGCGTGGTTGTGTAAAAGACTGCCGCTCCTTCTGGAGTACCTATCTGGACTCTGACCATGCCTTGGTCTGCGCCAATCTTGCCTTACTTTTCAGTGGACAACGAAGTGACCGCCATCAACGGATTGATATTAGCAAGCTGGTTGCAACTTCTGTTGCAAATAAGTATCGAACCGAGCTAGCCTCTAGGCTAGCTACTACTCCACCGAAAAGTATAGATGAGCATTAGTTGCAATTGCATGACGCCATGAAAATGGTGGGAACAGTCAGTTGTGGGTTCGCGAAACGTCCAGCTTATAAGCACTGGGTTTCTGCAGGTTCCTTACAACTCATTGAAGCCCGTCGGTCTACTCCGGGTGACCGTGAGTTTGACCATAAACGAAGGATGTTACGTAAGGAAATCGGGCAAAGCTTGCGTAAGGACCGAGAAACCTGATGGTCGGAGCGTGCTAATGAGCTGGAAGCAGCAGCTGCATCTGGTAACTACCGGAAGCTCTTCCAACTCATCCGAGCCACTGGCAGCAAGAAGTCTGGTGTGAGTGAAACAATCTGCGAGGATGATGGGATGCTAATCACTAACATCCATCGACGTCTTGGACGGTGGGCAGAATTTTTCGAAGGGCAGTTCAACTGGCCTGCTGCCCCGACAACATCGGTCAGACTGTCCTGCCCTCCATGGCCGGTGACGACTGATCCACCAAACGAGGAGGAAGTCCGCAAGAAACTCCAACTCTTGAAGCGTTACAAATCACCTGGCCCAGATGACTTACCTCTGGCTCTTTTTAAAGATGGTGGTGACTTTTTGACTAAGGAATTGACGACGTTGTTTACAAAGGTTTGGGAACTAGAGAGTGTACCAACGTCATGGAATGAGTTGATAGTTGTCCCTATCTTTAAAAAGGGTTCACGTCGTTCCTGTAACAACTATCGGGGGATAAGTCTACTTCCGACTGCGTCCAAGCTATTGGCTTCCATCATACTTCGTAGGTTGTTCAAAACCCGAGAAAGATTGACTCGCGAGGAGCAGGCTGGTTTTCGTTCTGGTCGAGGATGTATCGATCATATATTCACCCTCCGCCAAATGTTAGAACACCGCCATACTTATCAAAGGCCAACAATCGTAGTGTTTCTTGACATCAGGGCTGCCTTCGATTCGTTGGATAGGACTGTTCTCTGGGATTGTCCATTGAAGAAGGGTGTGCCTGAGAAGTTTATTAACATCCTAAAAGCCCTATATACAAACACCTCAGGCAGAGTGAGGGCATACAACCACCTCTCTCCATTGTTCCATTCGAGTAGTGGGGTTAGGCAGGGTTGTCTAATCTCACCATCCCTCTTCAACTTTGCCATCGATGACATTCTGGAAACAGCTCTGATGAATGTAAGTAATGGTGGTGTGGATCTGTTGCCTGGAGAAAGACTTCTCGACCTTGAGTATGCGGACGATATTGTCTTACTGTGCGATAATGCCCAAGACATGCAATCCGCACTTAATCAGTTGACAATCAGTGTCCGTAGGTATGGTATGTGCTTTGCACCTTCGAAGTGCAAAGTACTCCTACAAGACTGGCAGGATTCCAATCCTGTACTCCCCCTGGATGGTGAGCAGATAGACGTAGTCGAGAAGTTCGTGTATCTGGGTAGCTGCATAAGTGCTGGTGGGGGTGTGAGTGATGAGATCAATGCACGAATAGTGAAAGCCAGAGCGGCTTATGCCAATCTGGGCCACCTTTGGCGCCTTCGTGATGTTAGTCTGGCTATAAAAGGTCGGATCTACAACACGTCGGTGAGAGCAGTTTTGCTGTGTGCTTGTGAAACCTAGTCTCTCCGAGTTGAGGATGTTAGACGACTCTCAGTGTTCGATCATCGCTGTCTCCGAAGGATTGCTGACATTCAGTGGCAACACCATGTCAGTATTGCAGAGGTTCGGCATCGTGTGTTCGGGCACAGAGATGATAATTCAATTGGTGTCACCATCTTGAAACACCGACTTCGGTGGCTTGGACATGTTCTCCGAATGTCGTCCCAGAGAATTCCACGTCGTGCATTATTTGCCGACTCTGGGACTGGTTGGAAGAAACAGAGAGGTGGTCAGTGCATGATATGGTGTCGTGGCATGAAAGAAAGCTGCAAAGGACTGGCTTCTGTCGGTCCTTCACGACTCCCTGGTTGGGAACTGAGAGATGGTGCTACACAGTGGCTAGAGACGTTATCAGATATGGCTCAGAATAGAAGCCAGTGGCGATCCTGCTGTAATCTTTTACTTCCTTCATAAAAAGTGGTTGTATCTCCCTTACCTGAAAGATTTCTTCTGATTGTATCTCGTTACTACCACATAACCTTACACCAATCTCTTCGTTATTGTTCTCCTTTTTTTGTTGCGCTCCTTAGCTTTTTTTTCTTTCTTTGTATTCCTCTAGAATTTTCATTGTTTTGTGTGGCGCATATATATTGGCGCTCTCTTGTACCAATATTCATGTGTCCAAATAAATAAATAAATACATCCGACAATGGTGGTCTTTCTTGACTTAAAAGCAGCATTTGACTCGGTAGACCGCGAGATTCTGTGGCAGTGTCTGTCATTGAAAGGCGTACCACAGAAGTACATAAACCTTGTAAAGGCTCTTTACTCGAACACTACCAGTCGAGTCAGAACTTATGGCGAACTGTCATCTACTTTTGCAACCTCAAGTGGTGTCCGTCAAGGCTGTCCACTTTCTCCATTTTTGTTTAACTTCATTATAGATCTACTGATGGAAATAACTTTCTCGTCGACTGAGTTCTCGGGTATTGATCTTCATCCAGGAGGTCCACTTATCGACTTAGAATACGCAGATGACATAGTCCTGTTTGGTGAAGACGCTGACAAAATGCAGAGTCTTTTGGTAGCACTAAGCAACAATGCCAGAATGTTTGGAATGCGCTTCTCTCCCTCTAAATGCAAGTTGTTGTTTCAGGACTGGTCTGCGTCAACACCTGAACTAAGGATAGGGAGTGAAGTAGTCGAACGCGTTGGCAACTTCACTTATCTTGGAAGTCTGATCAGCCCTAACGGATTGGTGTCTGACGAAATCTCAGCACGGATTCGAAAAGCTCGATTGGCTTTTGCCAACTTGCGTCACCTTTGGCGAAGGCGAGATATCCGTCTATCAATAAAAGGACGAGTATACTGCGCGGCAGTCCGTTCTGTTTTACTTTACGGCAGTGAAACATGGCCATTAAGAGTAGAAGACACTCGTAAGCTATTAGTATTTGACCACAGATGCCTTAGAAATATTGCTGGCATCTGCTGGGATCACCGGGTAAGTAATAGTGGGGTTAGACGCAGGGTATTAGGGAATGATGGTAAATCAATTGATGAGGTCATGAATCTTCATCGACTGAGATGGTTGGGCCACGTGTTGCGTATGCCTGAACGCCGACTACCACGACGTGCAATGCTATTCGGTATTGGAGATGGTTGGAAGAAAGTTAGGGGCGGCCGAACCAAAACGTGGCATCAGTGTTTGAAGACACTAACTTCTAGTCTGAGCCATGTTGGTAGATGCAGACTACTTGGTTGGGGTCCACGTGACTTTCGTAACCAATGGTTGGAGACTCTTGGTGACATGGCTCAGAATTGACCACAATGGCGTCGGTGTATACACTCCCTGTCTTCCCTTAAACTAAGAGATTAAAATCACTGCATATCTTTCTTTCTACGAACCAATTCTTTTTTCTTGTACTATATCTCTATATGCAATCTTTCTCTTATATATTACCACCTTTGACCTAACCACTGCTATGAATCCGGTGTTCATCTTGTTGTGCTGATGCGGTATGGCAACCTGGACCGATGCACATATGTGCCTGGTCCTACGTTGTAGCTGACTGACTGACTGACATGAACCACACTGAAGTCAGTAAAGTACTTGGTCATAATACATATGCGTAAGTTAAGATTAGTTCTAGAAAAAGAGTAACATATTATCATAACAGATGAAAAACATAATAGCTATTATTGGCAACACTTACTACCAGATGTAGTTGAACCCATTTGAATAGGATGTCCTGAGTGAAACTCTGACTGACCACTAGGGGGGCGTTTTTGATACCCTTGATGCATAGGTGTTTGAACTGAATGAACCGGCAATCGAGGTGACTGTTGAGAGCTGTGAACACTGAGAGGAATAGTAGGAGATGATGACTTCGATACAGATGTAACAGCCGCTAGAGCCTGTGCAAATGTAATTCCTGGGACGTGACCAAGTGTTGAAGTTCCTGAAGCAGTTGGACCAACGGAACGTTGAATTTGTTGCTGTTGTTGATGGTAAGCAGCCGCCAGAGCGTTGAGTTGTGACTGACTTAGATGGCTACAAATCTGTGCTGCAGCAAGCATATCTTCCGGAGTTAACAACCCTGCATGAGGCCCAGCTGATGTAATACAAAGTTAAAAGATATAAACAAGATTCGATTGATAACCTTGGATACTTATTTCAAGAAATCACACAATCACTAAAGACACATATAGATCGAGACAACTTTACAAGCCTAATGGTTAAACTTACTACACTCTTCAATTGTAAGAGATTAAAGGTAAAACTGTAGCGAAATAAGCGAGAAAGAAATGGATAGGGAACAGCACGTCAAGGATTTAAAGGTCAAGAGCGATTAAATGTGTTATTTCGAAATGCCTCAATGTCATAGGATTTCTAACAACCCATTTTCATCATGGTGAAGATCGCATCGAAAACGTTCACCTCTGACTATACAAACTTTCCATTTATTTCAGCTATTACTGTACATTGGGATGTCAGAAAACGGATGGTACTGTACTTGTACTAGTTAAATGAATTACAGACATAGAACTAAACGTTAAAACACCTCATTTACATTTAGCACATATCCAGAAGCCCTTGAGGACAAACTGAAATTTTTTGAATAAGATTTAAGTAAGGAATCGATGATGAGAAACACAATAAGCGAAATTTTTGACAAGCAGTTGGTGACCTGGGTAAGATGAAACATTCAGCAAAACCAGCAATTTGTAGCTACTAGATTTCTGAACTTTCTTTACACCTAACATGCGATAGTGTATCCTGGCAAACTAACAGTATAACAATATATAAGCCCTTTTTATAGAAACTTTCAGTGAGAACTTAGGAACTTTAAAAACCAGTGGTTAGAACACGACGTCGATATAGGCGTAACATCCTCGCCTAGTAAATATCAGTAGCCTTCCCACTTCACCCGAACCAAAGCCAGGTATAGGTGAAACAATCTATCAAATTGATGATAAGAAAAGAACAATTCAGAGCTTCCTTTGGAGGTTTATGGCACACCTCCCAGGACACTAGTCGGGTTGTCTAAAGTGACATACACCAGTCTGAAATAAACTGGTTTTACAAACCTATCTTTAAAAAACCTCAAGATGCCCTGGTACAGCCAAGATTGAGTCCGCTCTTCATTCCGAAATCCTCCTACATTACCACGCGTATACAGCCATCTCCAGGCAAGTCCTACTCATTGCCTTTTCGCGGAGGGGGTTATTTACTTTATTCGAACACATAAACGTTGTTACAAGGGGGCACCAAATGTATATGCACCACACAATAACAATGAGACCAGTAGCAGCTATTATTGGTTTGTGTGAGGTCTGTTATACTGCCCGGGTGCCCAGACTGAACCTGAGGGTGTTGTTTACGAAGTCGAGAGGACGAAAAGCGAATGTCCGGCGTTCTAACCGCGTTGATAGATATGGAGGATCCACCTAGGGGATTGGAAAACCTCTATTCCAAACCAATGGTGCGCATGGGCTCAAGAATTCTAAGGGGACAAATGATGTATGAGCCTATTGTTGGTCATTGGCTACCGAGGGACTGCATCTTTGAACGTTGCTCCACTGCCTTGTGGGTTAGACCTCTAGATCAAAAGCTCGAAGAGTGGCCTGAGAAAACCACTTGTTTCGGTCTGGACGCCCGAGCAGTATTCCAGCCGTCACAAATTGAATGACGAAGGGGGGTGTATATATATTTGGTGTCACCTTGTATTAATGATTAAGTTAATCTTCAAAAAAGCATACATACTGCATGTGATTATCGCATGCATATATTCCGACATCCCAAACATCGACTTCGTCATATTGCACAGATTTTGCGAAATGTCTACAGATGATTTTGTTTAAAGAGAGTATAGGCGCACCACTACAGTTCACAATGTCGTTACTTAACATCAGGTCAGTTTTGATATAGTTGGTCAGGATTGTTTTCCAAAATGTTTAAGAGGAAAGTGAATTGATTAACATATCGAAAATACTTGATATATACGCACTTTGTACAGGAAATATCTGAACGCATTTAGTCGTTATTTACGAAACTAGCAGTGAGGCTCTGCATAGTTGATCACTCATACCTCCCTGAAGGCTCACCCATCACATCATGCGAGTGACCCAGAAGTGCATAGCAGTGTAAATCATTTACCCAAAGATGTCTTGTTATGCTTGGCTTAGACGCTACTGAAATCAATCCTTTGTAAACATCAGGTTGAATAACTTCAACAGGGCTAACAGGAACATGTATCTGCATTAACTCTCGGTAGTTGGCCTTCTAAACATAATCGAGCTCATCCGCACAGGTGGCTGCATAAACTCTAGTACCCAATGTAATTTGACACAGAAGCTGAAGGTTATCGTGTTGAAGCATTTAATCGCTCCTAAACAGGAAGACAAGGTTACGCAGTAAGCGAAATCTACTTGTTATTTATATACAAACTATGTTTTTAATAATGAGCTCTCGTCTCTTCTTCTATTCCTTCAAAACTAATTTTGTTTTATGCTGATTTATTTTCCCTACAAGTGGTAAGACCAGATCATACAGCTTAAAACTGATGGAATGGAAATGCTGCCATCCAACTATCCTAAAATAAACGCTACCGTTAAGGACCAGCAACAATACGTAGTCACAATATTACGTATTTTAGCATCTCATAACTACCCACTGCACTTCCGCCAGAAGTCCCACACCGCTTGAACTCTGTAGATTATTAGACTGATGAATCCAAGAACAATACATTGGGATAACAAGTGTAAGTGACTAAATCACCATCTACACAAACAGTTTGCTCAACATGTAATAAGACACCTTATTTATTTATTTGAACACATAAATATTGGTACAAGAGAGCGCCAATATATATGCGCCACACAAAACAATGAGAATTCGAAGAGAAATAGAAAAAAAGAGAACAATAACGAAGAGATTGGTGTAAGGTAATGTGCTAGTAATCAGGGAACGCAAAGGTACAATCGGAAGAAATCTTTCAGGTAAGGGAGATACAACCACCTTTTATGAAGAAAGTAAAAGATTACAGCAGGATCGCCACTGGCTTCTATTCTGAGCCATATCTGATAACGTCTCTAGCCACTGTGTAGCACCATCTCTCAGTTCCCAACCAGGGAGTCGTGAAGGACCGACAGAAGCCAGTCCTTTGCAGCTTTCTTTCATGCCACGACACCATATCATGCACTGACCACCTCTCTGTTTCTTCCAACCAGTCCCAGAGTCGGCAAATAATGCACGACGTGGAATTCTCTGGGACGACATTCGGAGAACATGTCCAAGCCACCGAAGTCGGTGTTTCAAGATGGTGACACCAATTGAATTATCATCTCTGTGCCCGAACACACGATGCCGAACCTCTGCAATACTGACATGGTGTTGCCACTGAATGTCAGCAATCCTTCGGAGACAGCGATGATCGAACACTGAGAGTCGTCTAACATCCTCAACTCGGAGAGACTAGGTTTCACAAGCACACAGCAAAACTGCTCTCACCGACGTGTTGTAGATCCGACCTTTTACAGCCAGACTAACATCACGAAGGCGCCAAAGGTGGCCCAGATTGGCATAAGCCGCTCTGGCTTTCACTACTCGTGCATTGATCTCATCACTCACACCCCCACCAGCACTTATGCAGCTACCCAGATACACGAACTTCTCGACTACGTCTATCTGCTCACCATCCAGGGGGAGTACAGGATTGGAATCCTGCCAGTCTTGTAGGAGTACTTTGCACTTCGAAGGTGCAAAGCACATACCATACCTACGGACACTGATTGTCAACTGATTAAGTGCGGATTGCATGCCTTGGGCATTATCGCACAGTAAGACAATATCGTCCGCATACTCAAGGTCGAGAAGTCTTTCTCCAGGCAACAGATCCACACCACCATTACTTACATTCATCAGAGCTGTTTCCAGAATGTCATCGATGGCAAAGTTGAAGAGGGATGGTGAGATTAGACAACCCTGCCTAACCCCACTACTCGAATGGAACAATGGAGAGAGGTGGTTGTATGCCCTCACTCTGCCTGAGGTGTTTGTATATAGGGCTTTTAGGATGTTAATAAACTTCTCAGGCACACCCTTCTTCAATGGACAATCCCAGAGAACAGTCCTATCCAACGAATCGAAGGCAGCCCTGATGTCAAGAAACACTACGATTGTTGGCCTTTGATAAGTATGGCGGTGTTCTAACATTTGGCGGAGGGTGAATATATGATCGATACATCCTCGACCAGAACGAAAACCAGCCTGCTCCTCGCGAGTCAATCTTTCTCGGGTTTTGAACAACCTACGAAGTATGATGGAAGCCAATAGCTTGGACGCAGTCGGAAGTAGACTTATCCCCCGATAGTTGTTACAGGAACGATGTGAACCCTTTTTAAAGATAGGGACAACTATCGACTCATTCCATGACGTTGGCACACTCTCTAGTTCCCAAACCTTTGTAAACAACGTCGTCAATTCCTTAGTCAAAAAGTCACCACCATCTTTAAAAAGAGCCAGAGGTAAGTCATCTGGGCCAGGTGATTTGTAACGCTTCAAGAGTTGGAGTTTCTTGCGGACTTCCTCCTCGTTTGGTGGATCAGTCGTCACCGGCCATGGAGGGCAGGACAGTCTGACCGATGTTGTCGGGGCAGCAGGCCAGTTGAACTGCCCTTCGAAAAATTCTGCCCACCGTCCAAGACGTCGATGGATGTTAGTGATTAGCATCCCATCATCCTCGCAGATTGTTTCACTCACACCAGACTTCTTGCTGCCAGTGGCTCGGATGAGTTGGAAGAGCTTCCGGTAGTTACCAGATGCAGCTGCTGCTTCCAGCTCATTAGCACGCTCCGACCATCAGGTTTCTCGGTCCTTACGCAAGCTTTGCCCGATTTCCTTACATAACATCCTTCGTTTATGGTCAAACTCACGGTCACCCGGAGTAGACCGACGGGCTTCAATGAGTTGTAAGGAACCTGCAGAAACCCAGTGCTTATAAGCTGGACGTTTCGCGAACCCACAACTGACTGTTCCCACCATTTTCATGGCGTCATGCAATTGCAACTAATGCTCATCTATACTTTTCGGTGGAGTAGTAGCTAGCCTAGAGGCTAGCTCGGTTCGATACTTATTTGCAACAGAAGTTGCAACCAGCTTGCTAATATCAATCCGTTGATGGCGGTCACTTCGTTGTCCACTGAAAAGTAAGGCAAGATTGGCGCAGACCAAGGCATGGTCAGAGTCCAGATAGGTACTCCAGAAGGAGCGGCAGTCTTTTACACAACCACGCCAGCGGTAGCTGATCGCGATGTGATCAATCTGAGTCCAGGCTTGGGATGCAGAGGGGGGGACGCCAGGTGGCACATCAGCGATGACTGTGCCGAAAGTTAGTGCTAGCCAGAAACAGGTTGTGGTCTGTGCAAAGTTGCAGTAGACGGTTCCCGTTATCTGACCTGCGACCAACGAGTCCCCATCGGCCACCTAAACGACTCTCTTCTGTGCCTAGACGCCCGACCTGAGCATTCAAGTCTCCGGCTAGTACTACAATATCTGTCGAACGCACTTTCTGGAGAAGAACTGATAACTGGTGGTAAAACTCATCCTTGATTGCATCCGGGCTGCAATCTGTAGGGGCATAGGCGGAGATGACGAAAAGACGTCGTTTCTCACGCCGATTTCTTCTCACTTTGATGGAACTTTCTAATCTAACAGCACATAACCGACTGTTAATGGGGATCCAATCGACTAGTGCTGCCTCAGCTCTAGCGCTTAGTGCGACACCAATGCCAGCAAGACTAGACGAAGATGCCACAGGGTCCCCGGATAAGCGCACGTAAAACAAGCTTTTCGAAGCGACAGAGGCTCGGGGAGTGGCCCCCTAAGATAACCACCTGCTTCGGTTCGGGCACCCGGGCAGTATCACAGCCCACACACAAATTGATGAACTCTCTATGCCTATGCAATTAGACACCTAGAGGGGTTAGGATGGAACCTAGGATTATGTGATGGATATTTCGTCGTGACGTCAGTTTTATAAACACTAAGCATCTTCAGTTACTCCGAGTTGAAGAAAGTTTTAGAGCCAAATGAAAAGCAAGCTACCATGAAGCAAAACTCCGAACTAACCAAACCACCTGATAAGTCGTCCTAAGATAAATGGTCCAAACAAACTGCATGAATCTGTACTGCCACTGAAGATGTGAATCAAGGTCGTGCAATGACAGGACACAAGCTGTATGGCGCAATGTTACTAGTCTGCATACCGTTTGTTGAGTCGTTTTACATTTCTCCAGTTACTCTGCCAAATCTATAGAATACTCTCCCCTAATCACACATACAGGACAAGCACTAACACCTAACAACAGTATTCGACATCTTTACTGACTGGAACTTAAATATTCGGCATTCAGAGAAGATATACATATATTTTTCGTCAGACAAATTAAGATAAACAAAGAACTTACTTGTGAGCACCGGACCTTCACTTGGAAAACTATCAGACCTTCCATTCCGATTAATACTGGCATAACCCTGTTCAGGGCTGGAAGCAATCCGCGAACCTGGTGGTGGGGCGTTCGAAGATAAATGATTTTCGGATTGTAAGCGGGATATTGTGTCACACATATTAGATAGAAAGCCAGCTGTTGCTGCAGAAGCACTCGAGACCTTGCTTTCCCTTGACCTAGCATGTTGAGTACCAACAGCAGGAACACCGGGATGTGATTGAGAATTCCCACTCTCCGGCTTAGAGCAAAACTCTCCCATAGACGAACCAACTGCGAAGACCGCGTCGAACCTAGCGCCCTTTACATATGAAGTAGCAAATACAAACAAGCACAACAGATCATAGCGTGTATTTTTAATAGTTTTATGATATCACTTATTTTCATATCATAACACTCGCCGTTGTTCCACATGAGTAAATGCAAGAAAATTTGTCCCAGGATTTTCAGACCAGATAAAATGCACAGAATAAATACCACTACCTGAAAAACTGAAATAAGTTTCAGCAAGATTGGTCTCACATATGCACAAATCTATAATATGCTGACCAACAAAGAAACGACTTCAGAACTCTCGGCTCCTTAAGTCTCTAGGAATATAGAAAATACAAAATTTACTACAAACTATCTGATCTCCAGTGTCTATACTCATGTGTGTTTATGTGTGCAGGTGAGAAGATCCCCACTATATTCGCCCTGTTTTTCAATCACTTTTTTGCCCTAGAAACAATATCACCCCACCCGTCCACTAATTTTTATACACTGCCTGCTTTCTGACTCGAGACAAGGTTGTAGCGGTAAATAAATCACCAAAACAAATAGTTCTGTGTCTTCGACATTGACACTGACCTCATTAGTTTTACTGGACACAATCTAGCTGGAACCGCCTGGTCGCGCATACATGCCAGGTGGCGAATGAGTACGCCAAGCTACTCATCCCTTGCAACTACAATCCAGCTTATATACAACTAATATCAACATATCAACAACCTTCCAAATATGTATCCAAGTTCATTCATCCATAAATTTCAATTTGGTGAGGTTGGTATCCCTCAGTTTGAAGGGTGTTACATACAAAAGCGTTGACAAACGCTGAATATCTGTGGCGTCTTGAAGGTCATTATGTATATTTACTTACAACTTTACCCCTTTGCTTTTGCAGTATCTCCGAGATGAAATCAACTCATCTCATCTGGCCTCTTCAGTCAGTAATCGCTATCCTTTGGACTGGGTGAACTGACTTATCTCTTTCGAATAGAACATTGTTTTTTGCTTGGCATTAACGTCTTATAACAATTAAAAGTATTCGAATTATTGTATTAACTGGGATTTCTCGAAATAGTGCAATTCAATTCTAATGGAACTAGGAGAGTACAGATGAACGCACTAAATTTAGAATTCGGAATCAATCAAAAATCAAGTGCAAAACAATCATTAGTTCATGCAAATGCCGCATTTCAAGTTCTGTATCATCTAGAACATACTCATTAGTATTAGAATCAACGGCCAAAATAGGAGCAGACTCATCTGGTTCCTGGAATTATATTTGATCAAAATGTCGGTTGTGCATATTTAAATCATAGATATCTAAATTTCAGACCAAAGATTTCCTGAATTTCTTCACCGCAATCCCCGTAGCTGGTCGAAGATCATTCACACGATAATATGGAAATTCAGCAGACCCTAAACACCAAAGATGTCAACAACTCAACTTAGAACCTCTTTGGATCAGACGTATCAAATTAAATCTTGCCTTTATCTACCGGCTTATTAACGGTATTTCCTACTCCTCCGTATCCACCCCTTCATACCTTATGATATCATCCCACAATCTACGCAATAAAGAGAATATTCTAGCGATTCCAAGAACTCACACAAACTTACGTCAGAATTTTTTCCTTCTTCGCTACTCAACCATGTGGAACAGACTGCCAGTGAACCTCCGTTGCAGTGAAACTACAACCCGGTTCAAAAGTCTCCTTGACGATTTTCTTTCCGAAAGTGGATTATGTCACCCATTGAATATCAATGTATTCAACAATGATTTATACAAACAAGGTCCGTCATCCGTTTAATTGCTTAAAAAGCAAAATAAAACCTTCAAATCTTTCCACGTCTATTTTATTTTATTTCTATTTATCTTAATATATGAAATCTGCTTATGTTCGTGTTTATCATTATTTCCGTTATTATTATCATCATTAGTTCCCCGACACATTAGATATTCTTTTTGTATCTTCTTATCCTTCTAAACATATTTAACTCCAGATTGTCCTTTGAAATCAATTTTGACTTTCATAGCATCAATCTTAATTATTAATGCACAAATATTTATACTAATATCCGGTTTCACTCTGTATACTATTACATAAATCTAAATGTAATCATCCGAGTGCTTTAACGGATTTTTATTTTATTTTTTCAATTGCTGGTTTCCTTGTGAGGTTGATATTCATTACACAATTATTATTCTTATCATGGATCAAAACTTTTCACTAAGTGTTCACTTCTCTTCTCTCTTCTTTCCCTCTAAATAAATATTATTCTTAAGATTACGAAGTTTTTAATTAAAACAAAAACTTGTGTTACACTTAAATTAAATTCTCAGACCCGTTTTATTTTCACTATGCATATATGACTACTCATTCATATTGATATTTTATTATCCTTTTCATTTAATTGTAACTTTCATAGCATCACTCTAAACTATAACTGCACAAACATTTATTCTAGCGTCATTTCTTACTGCAATTATAAGTTATTTTTTCTTAATTATTTTTGTTACTAATTTAACGATACACACATGGTCGTTTATTCTTGTTCTGTGTTCATAAAAACGCCTATTAGACTGTTTGCGTATTTCACGTCTCCTTTATTTCTATTCCCTTATTTTCTCCATTTACTTCTTTAAACTCAATTCACTATTCTTCTCAATTGCACAGACCCGATTTGTTATTATTAATATTCTACTATTATTGCTCTAATTTTTTTAAATGTCAAGTATAATGCTGACATTATTGAAAATTGTGTATTATTGCATTTTTTGAAGAAACCCGAAATGGTTTCTTCACAACACTTATGTACCCATAAGATGTTTGTGAATAATAATAATAATCCTTCCTTTTAATAGCTTTGATGGAGTCTCTTCCGTTACAGAATGTTTAGTATTCCCATATTGCAGTAGAAATGTATGTACTCTTCTCTTCAGTTCATTAAATGTTGAAGCAACAATAGAATAAATAGCAGTACCCAATGTCCTAAGAAATTCTCTGCCTGACCACTAGAACAAAGGTGTCTCGGGGCATTGAGCAGATTTCTGCACCCCATGCAACCACGTAGTGACTGCATCCACAACAAAATGAGAGCTATTATCAGTCACCAACAACATAGGAACCCCTTCTGGACTAAACACCTTTCTTAATACTTCGATTGTAAAGTCAGAATTAAGTAAAGTTGTGAAAAAACTTCAGGCCACTTCGAAAAATTACCACAAGAGCATAATATCTGACAAGAAATTGACCACAATATTCTGCATGAATTTTCTTCAAGGCCTCAGATGACACTGCCATGAAGTCCACTTCAGGAGCTGAATTTTAAATTTATGATATTTTCTACATATATCTGCATTTACTTCCTACCACCAACAGGTGAGCCTTACCAAGCATTTCATTTTCTCAACACCTAAATGTCCACTATGAAGATCTGTAGTGGCACTGGACCATAACCACACAATCCTCAAAGGTGAACACGAGACTACTCGGAAAATAGATATTCAATGCTCAACGCGGAGAAATACTTAACGATGGAAAATGCGGGAACAATGAGTTTTATTAATTCGAGTTGATCAGGTGGTATGGCTCGGCCATGCAGGCGTGGTCCCTGCGGAATGTTACCTTATATATTTTATTCATATTAAATATATTGTTCTTTTTCTAGCCTAAGCTTGTTCCCCATCATGTATTGGTAATTGTTACGATACAGTTGGTTGGTGTTGACGATGGTGTGACTTCCACGTAAGATCTTATATATATTAGGCAGGTATATCATGACAAATCTACAGTTTTAGGATTAGCTCTATTATTAGAGCAGTACTATTATAATAGTAGACTATAATTCCACAGATCTACAAGGAGAGATTTACGCAATGAAGACCGAATAACACCACGATCATTTGAACACCAAATATCATCACGAATAGTGGATAGCACATCCCGCTTTGATAAGTAGACAGAAAATCTGTTGCTTAGTTCATCATTCCAACATTTCTGTATGGCACTAGGTATACGTCCAAAGTATTAACGAGTTTCTCCAAACAGATATGGCAGCGACACCAAATGTAGTGAGCAAGAACACCAGTGGGGACAATTGAATGTATTTGACTCACAATTACAGGACTTGTTAATAAAATCTAACAATCAAATAGCAAATACATAATTTGCAAAATGTCCATCAATTGTCTCATAATGACTCAGACTTCATTGTTCTTGCATTTTCATGCAGATTGCATTCTGTTTCCATCCTCTTGCCTCTCTGCTGCCAGACCTTCTGTTTACGAGTGGCATCATAAACTACTTATTTCAGTATAGTGATTCATGACCGCCGTGCCACATCCTTCTTTTCTGCAGTTGCGCTACATCCTCAGTCAAAATGTTGAATCTGCGGCGCGCCGACATTCATAGCTCCGTCGATCTGCCGGGGCACCAAATTCCGCTTCCACCGTAGCTTCAACAAACGGGAGTTCAGTGTTAATCTATTATTACCACATGTTCTCAGTGTCTTCACATCACAATTCAAGGGCATAACGATAAAATTACCACATACAAAAGACTAGATCGGTTCAAGTATGCATTTTGCACACAAATAGCTCAATGTCTTATGTACTGCTTCTCAAAAACTATAAGAAATCTTTCGTCTTTTAAGAAAGACTGGATCACCTCATACTTGAAGTTTTATAGTTCGAATTCTCGAACCTCCACTGCACGTACAGCACACAGCCATCAAATCTTTAAGCTAAACATCAGAATCTTCTCTACAAACTAATGAAGACAACTCCAGTTTAAGCCCCCACAAATTTTGAAAACCCGGTATTGACTGTTCTGTATCGCTAACTAAAATTTCATAAGCCATGTATGAATTGTCATCTCGAATTAGCAATTCAGAACATTCTCGTACATGCAGTTTATGTTCAGTAATCCTCAATGATGATACTTTGGTGGGTTGGCCTACAACACTCAAAATCCGAAGATTTCAGACTCCTGAGTG